TTCACAAACTATTAAAACATGCAGGTCCACCACAGTCCTACTGCAAAGGCCACGTACAAAAAAACAAAAACAAATTAGATTGTATACAGTCATAGGCAAACGTTTGAGCACCGCTGGTCAATTTTATCTTTTGTAGGCACATTTAATATGTTAAGTTTTATTTTTCCAATACGTTAAATTCAGCAAATAAATAGAAATTGCACTTCAAAATTTGATAAAAATCGCCATAAGTTTGTTCTCTGCAGAGGATATGTTAACTTATTTTTACTTACAAAACCAAGAAAACCTATAATTTGTCATCAAACTTTTGCATACGACTGTATCTACAGTCTACAGTATCTACAGTACGTGGAATAATTAATACACATTTGTTTCTTATACAGACAGAAACAAGGTCAAGGATAGCACAGAATCAATCAAATCAATACCTGCTGTTCAGTTATCAGTTGAATGACCCTGACAGTTTCTTGGCAGCCATTTTCTATCAGTGTGGCAGAAGTCTGGAGCATCCAAGCTTAAGAACTGAACTCCGTGGGCTGAATTTGAACCTAACACCCTTGGAATTCAGTTCTCAAAGCCAAGACCTCAGTAGATGGCAGTTTAAAACATACAGGACAGAACAGGACCTTTGTCCTAAAACAAAAAAGGGAAATGATAGCTGGTGTTAAAACATCTGTAAATAAGTGTCATATTAAAACGCATGTTTATTTATTTGTGTCTTACTGGCGTGTGGTGAAATGGTCACTATTTGTGTCTGGTATGTAATTACCCCATCTGAGTTTGGGAATTTCTCTTTATTTCCTTGTTCCTCATTTATAACTGCACATAAATCTACCTTACACTTCCTGCAAGTCTAAATGTTTTATTTCCAGCAATGAGTAACAGTTGTGTGAAAACGGTTACCAGACTATAGAGGGGAAAATGTCAAAACTACTTCTTTTTGATAGATCTTATTCATAAATGTTATATGAGAACAAAGAACACCGTCTACACTTTTTGCTGTGAGTGAGAAAAGGCTGCTGGTAAAGAAAAAAATGAGCTGACTTATTATTGTATAATGTTTTAGTAAAAAATACATTAGAATAATTCATAATATATTAAAAAAAACTTTATACTACCCCACCATCTACGCTAGGCCTGGGAAAGTTAGAAAAATAGCCTAAACTATGTTTGCGTAAGAGCAAAAAAATTACTTCCACTTAAATAAAGGTTAAAGGTTTCTTTATATCGCAAAACAAAAGAACAAGGGGGAACAAGAACACAGTATTAATAATTACAGCAAAAAGATTTATAAGAAAAACAACTCTAGTGTACTGTATATTGTAAGGATATACTGTGGCGAGTCTTAGGGGCTTGTACAGGGTACAAGTGAAAAACACTGTTTGCCGCCCCTCTCTCTCTCTAGTAGGCCTAAGTTATAAAATCTTAGAAGAAATAGTCTAAACTACGTTTATGTAAGAGAACAGCTTAAAAATGAGTTCCAGTTAATATTCCTCAAGTTCCTTCGTACAGTAAGGCTACATTAAAAACAAAAAACAAGCAAGACAAAAGAGAAAAAGAACACAGAGGAAAAGTACTAAGTAAGTATCCTTATGATTCATTATGTAAACAGCTCTAACAGATCTAACTCTACTGTTTAGTACATTCTAAGGCCATGCTGGAACGTTAAGACACCAGTCTTGGTAGTGAAAGGTTTCTCTTTGCTCTCGAGTGAGTCTATCTGTAAGGATGTTCCTGGAGACTACAAAGTATGATCAAAGATAGTTCACAAAAAAAGTGTCATTTAGTTCTTTGGCTCTCCCCAGTTATGCTTACCTTCGGTTTCCAGTCGGTGAGGGGTGACTCATTCCGTGAGGATGCTGAATCATAACTGAGACACGGCCGTGATAAGCTGTCCTGCCGCCTACTGTCCTCAGCAGCACCGTGGCCCTCTCACATAGCCTAGCCTAGCCTATATAGCAGGGCCCTTCTCTCATTTGCATAGGGCCTTTTTTCCATCACACACACACACACACGCGCGCGCACGCACGCACACACACGCTCTGCAGCCCTGCGTACGGGAAAGTCCCCTGCGATCCTCTCGCGATAGTAAAAATTGCACAAGGCGCGCTGAGCCCAATGAGAGCCGAGACTCGCGTCATACAACAACACGCTTTTGAAATCAGTCGTGTTTGTGCGAAGCCTGAGCGAAACGCAGCGCTCCAATAACAACCTTTTTTATGTTCCATCTTTAATGAGATCGCTCGGTGAGAAGGCGACGCGGTATCAACCGACTCTGTTGAGAAAACCCCAACCGCTAGAAGAGGAGGAAATGTTGGTTAAGTATTCGCTTCACCATTTCCGCTCTGTAAACTCCGTGGGCTGCGACGGGGAAATCCTGAAGCCGTGCGCTCTGCTCCTTCTCCAACCGTCATTAGAGCTGTTTTTAAACTTCTACTCTCCAACAACACAAGCTTTTTTCACTCAGCGTATCAGTTTAGTGCGAAAGCCAATTCTCGCCAGGTACAGCAGAGAAAAATAGCCTGTTGCTTTTTTTTCTGTATGTAGAAGCATTATGACAACATGTTTTAGTATGTCTAAATGATTACTTATTTCCTCAAAAATTTGGCTTAATGTCTGTAAATAATGACTTTTCATTTTTTCCAAATAATAAGTCAATGTTTTGAATAAATTACACATTCTTTCGACACGCTAAGTCAAGGTTTTGATATACTGCTGGCAGAAATAGCGGTATGTCCTCTCCGTTAAGTGTTGGACTTCCATGGTTGAGAAATGGAAAATGTGCTCCTTTACTGTGAAACTGAACAGAATAGCTCATTAAAATCGGTAATTTCACTGGCTTTAAATTGAGGTCACACTATGCAGCAATTGATCTGGCATGCGAAACTTTGACTATTCGAGGACAGTGAAACCTTTGTATACAAAGCAAAGCAAAAATGGCATGGAGATGAAGGAAGAGATTAGAGATTTTTCTAGATATAGAGATAAGCTAGAGATGATTATTTTTCCTTCTTCAGAACATATAAGTTTGGAATCCCAAAGCTATTATTCCTGAACACAGGCAGGCCTCCCTTTCTTTACTTTAGCAGCTTAAAGGTCCCATATCCTACATTTATCTTGTGTCTTTTGTCTTATTATGTATGTGTGGGGTTTATGTGCCACTGTCATAATCCATTTTCCAACCTCTTTTATCCCTTAGAATTAAACAAGCCATTTTATCCACTGTGCTTTTAACTGATATATGTATTTCTGTTCTGATTGGCTGACCTGTATTATGCTTCCTTAAAAAAGCAGTCCATACTGAAACATTCTTTATAACTGCAGAATAAATGGTGGAGCTAAATTTCTCTAGGCTGAATAGGCGGATATAATGTGTTGGTTTTTGTGACATCACAATAACAGTGAATCCAAAGTATTTCAAGAAAGTGAAGCAGATGCAGTTTTCTATTATATAGACCCTTTAATAAAAAAACAATACCTGTGCATATCTTGGAATACACCTTCATGAAACCAGAGAGTGATTTACTTTTATATACACTGTGACATCAACCATCGGGACCTATCTGTGCACACATGTATGTTCTTGTATTTGTGTACAGACAGCATACACATGTACAAACACTCAGCAAGTGGCCTCATGCTGACCCACATGTTCTCGCTCTCTTTCCTGAACTCACATGACAGAGGAAGTGAGTCAGGTTCTCACGTCAGGCTCCAGATGACCTGAAGTCACAGGCCCTTGATGACGGGAATACAGTACATAAATAAATGTTGACCTTTGAGGGTCCTAACATGTGAACAAGAAGATAATACAAAAGATGACTTAACACGCACCTGCATACGCAAATCCCTCAGGCCCAAACACAGTAAAACAAACATACATTAAAAGGCTAACACAGTGTACGGCTAAGGTTGCCCAATAGAGTTTTTGTTCATCACTGGAGAAAAAACAGGCGTGGGAGGGTAAGCTTTTGACTATTATTATCTTCAGCAATATTTATGTTGCAATTATTGGGTTATGTGGACTGCAGTTGCTCACTAGCACCACTCACTGGTTTGTAAGGAATAAGTTTTCAGCAAAAAAACATTTTTTCATCCTAGTTCTCAAATACAAGTAAGGTACAGTGTACAGTTTGCTTCCTATTGGCTTTCACAGGCCTTGTTCTCTAGAAGTTGTGTTGACATCTTATAATCTGATAAAGAACAAAATGTATTGATTTTATGACCTGCTTGTCACTATTTTACTGCTCCAATCTTATTTGAAAACTGTGAGTAGTGATGCATTTTGATCATTTTCACTTTCCACTTTTCTCTGTCTCAGGCATCAGAGCACAGGGAACTCAAGCTAGTGCAGCAAGCTCATAACAGTAAAATACTCATTCATAATTCACTCCAGTGGTGTAGCTCCTGTGGAGGGAAGGGGGGCAGTTGCACTGGAGCCAATGGAATAGGGGGACACACAGCAACAATCCCCTTAAATTTTTACTGGGCCCCTTGTATAGACACTGACACATTTATACTCAATTTCTTAACAACATACCTCACCAATTAGATTCCGTCAACACTACACAGACAGCCTGACGTGTTTATCTCCTTCTTATTCATAATGCAGCTCAATGGTTACCATTTTCAAATGAATCCTTCACAAACTACAGCAGGATACACCGATCAGGCATAACATTATGTTTCTATGCTCATTGTCCATTTTATCAGCTCCACTTACTATATAGGTACACTTTGTAGTTCTACAATTACAGACTGTAGTCCATCTGTTTCTCTGCATACTTTGTCAGCCCCCTTTTACCCTGTTCTTCAGTGGTCAGGACCCTCATGGACCCTCACAGAGCAGGTACTATTTGGGTGGTGGATCATTCTTAGCACTGCAGTAACACTGACGTGGTGGTGTGTTAGTGTGTGTTGTGCTGGTCTGAGTGGATCAGAAACAGCAGGGCTGCTGGAGAATTGTAGAACTACAAAGTGCAGCTATATAGTAAGTGGAGCTGATAAAATGGACAATGAGTGTAGAAACAAGGAGGTGGTCATAATGTTATGCCTGATTCGTGTATATTCAAGATGAACTATTTTAAAATCTTATACAGGTAGTCTAACAAACATGTAGGCTAACAGCAGATGCTAGTATGTGGCCTTGAGAGCATCAGCTTGTTTGAGACATAATAGCAAGTGAGCAAGTGAATTACTTTGTAAATGAAGTGAATTACTTTGTAAATTCTTTTTTATTGGTTAAAAGTAATTTGTATGGGGGGGGGTGGGGCATTATTTTTTATGCTTGGGCCCACTGGGGGTCCTAGTTATCACTGATTCACTCACTAACACTAAGGATGTCACTGAACTGTTTTTACACAAGGCCATTTTGGACCTGGGACTAGACCCAGTTTTATGCCCTGTGTGAGCCTGTTCCTTTACAAGCACTAATTTTAAAAAGATAACCACCATAAATTGTTTAAAGCCCAAGAAAACAGAAAGAAAACTTAAGACTATTCCTTTAAGCCTTTTCATTCCATAGAACTATGACATATTTAAGGCACTCTGTGTCCACTGTGTATGTATTTATGTATGGTTTAGATCAAATATAGCTAAAGTCAGATAACGCAGCGTGCAGTTTCTGGCACAACACCTACGACAGAAACACAATCCAGGAGAGAAAAGGCAACACAGACTTCTCAGACGCTGCTGAAATAAAATTACTTTCACGACATGCCAATACCGACCTAAGAGGCCAGTCCAACATCTTTACTGGTCAAACCAACGCCGTCGAGAAGTGATCCCTTTTCTTTAATCTGATTGGTCAAGAGAGCGCATGCATAGTCACGCGGTCCTGTTGCCGGATGGTGCTTGATCCTCCTGCAGAAACGGAGCGTGCGCAGCCTTCATTGTTTTTTCGTGTAGTAAAAAAAAGGCCTATTTCCTGGCGCCAGTGATGGCCGATCAGCCTGATACGCACCGCATCTTCGATACGACTGTGGAGGCATGTCGCCTGTGAGAGCGGGTCCTTGGCAGGTTCTGTCTTCGTTGATGGAGACTTGCTCTGCGCTTTAGTTGTCTGAGCTGCTGCCGCCATGCCGCTGTGTATCAGCTTATACCTTCTCAGTTTAGTGTTTTTGGGGGGAACGCGAGGAGATTCAGGATTTGCACCGCTGGACGGCGCACCGCCATCAAAGATAGGTAACGTTAGTGCTGCCGTTTGTCTTTCACTGTGTGTGCTGTTTAACCGTTTTCAGTTTTCTCTTTGTACGGTTTCTTCTGGAGGATACGTTATTTCACAAAGCAGAATTTCTCAGTAAAGCCAAAGATAATTTGAGTTAAAAGTGAGGAGTCTCTCTTAGGAGCTTCCTTTATCTTTGGTCTCTTTATCCGTTATCCGGCTCCTTTAGAAAATAAATCTACGTTGTCCTTTTCTACTTGTTTTATTCTACCGTCTTATATATGCGAGGGCTGTATCTTGTAATATTTTATTGTCTTGTGTATGATTTTGTGGTCCTGGTTGCTTTGTGACATTTCGAGTTTGAGAAGTGGGCGTTATGAATGTGTTCCGATAATCATGGGGAGTTAACGGCAGCTGCGAGATCTAAATTAAGTGCCTGAGCGCTTGTTTTATACACGCCTGTTGTGCGAGTGACGCTCCATCATGTAAACGTGTAGACTGTAAGCGTTGTTTAAGCGTTTTTAACTCTTGTCTGATCCGTGTTTGTTGTTTTTTTTTTTTAGCTGTTGTAGGCGCTGGAATCGGCGGAACCACGACAGCGCACTTCCTGCGGCAGCACTTCGGGCCGGAAGTGCGGATCGATGTGTTTGAGAGGAAGGCGGTGGGCGGCCGGCTAGCCACAGTTACGGTCAACCAGCAGGACTACGAGTCTGGAGGGTCCATCATCCACTCCCTCAACCTGCACATGCAGGACTTCGTTAAACAGCTAGGTCTTTACTCACCTTTTTAACCCACTCATTTTGCCCAAATCAAATCTTTGGGATTCTTCTGGAAGTAAGACCATGACTGGTATTAATCTAATTTACTTTACAGCAGGTTTGTCATAAACTTTTAGCCTAAAACACATTTTAAATACATGCAGGCGGTGCAACATTATACCCAAACATGATATACTGAAATTGTTTTGGATTCATCACCATTATCAGTTTTAAATTCACAGGACATGTGCAGGTTCACTGGTCACTGGCACCGCAAATAAAATGGCTGTATTTGCACTATAGACCCCTGGTTATATGAATTGCAGGTGTTAAGTTTACCTACAATGCTCCATTTTACACCAAGCAACTCTAAATGACAGTTTATGTTTCAACAATTTAATTATGCAGAATTTTTTAAATAATTATCGGAGTTACGTTTTTAAGTGCTTTTGGCACAACAGTATGGTAATATGGCAAGTTTGTAGACATCTGCTCATCCAGTGTTTCCGCTTAAATCAAGGGTATTAAGAGAGTTTGTCCCCACTCTACTCTTCTGGGAATGCTTTACACTAGTGTTTGTCTGAACAATCCTGTAAGGGTTTGATTTCATTCAGCCACAAGAGCATTAGTGAGGTCAGGGACTGATGTTGGATGATTAGTTCTGGATCACAAAGGCCACTCTAACTCATCCCAGTGATATTCCAGGGTGCTCAGTCACTCCTCCAGTAAACATAGTTCCACTCTTCCACAGCTCAGTGCTGGGGATCTTTATACCCCTCCAGATGACACTTCACAATAGGCATGGTTGCTCCATTGCATCGCAGTGCTCCATGTCATTGCTTTTCTATGGAGATTATACAAGCTGTGTGTGCAGTTGAACACCTGTGTCATTAATGAGTGTGCCTTAAAGTAGCTGAATTCATTAATTTACAAGGAGTGTCTGAATACCTTTGAACAATCTGAAAAATCCAGCACAAACCAACCAGTAAGAATTTCAAGCTGTGCCAAGCTGGTTTATGCTTATCAGTGCTGTTAAGTGCTTCAGACATGACAATATGGCCAGTTCGAGTAAGCCATACATGAAATACATCCAAACGACTGTAAAAATGCAAGGTTTTAGATGGCCTGCAGCATGGTAGAGGTCACCAAATACTTGCTGAGCTGTCTAATGTGCAGGATATGTTTCACGATATCCTAAGAAACTCTGGATGAGGAATTGCATTAATCACATCTCATGACATCACTGGGCTTTTTGCACTTCTTAACTGCAGGGCTGAAATATCGTAAGAGCGTGGCAGGGAAGACAGCGGTGTTTAATGGCAAGGAGTTTATTCTGGAAGAGACCGACTGGTACCTGCTAGACCTGTTCCGCCTGTGGTGGCGTTATGGCATCAGCTTCATCCGCCTGCAGATGTGGGTGGAGGAGATCATGGAGAAGTTCATGAGGTAATTAAACTGAGTTTGGAGAAGGCCACACATTCTCCTCCACACAAAACCTGTTGCACAAAACATAGCCTAAAACAAGTTATTTTGCTTTGTTGAGGAGCTTGAATAGTTCTCACAAGTTCAACTGGCAAAGCTATGTACGTTCTACTTAAAACTAAAGTAGCGTAAATAAATAAATCAAAAACAATCCTGCCATGTGTTTATCACATATTTATACAAACCATATTAATTCTTTTTATATGTAACCATTCCACTCTGTAGGTCTGTCTGTTTCTGTCATTCCTCTAGGGCAGATGTCATCAATCTTAGCCACAAAGGGCTACAGTGGCTGCAGGATGTCGTTCCAGTCAAGCAGAAGAACACCTGCATCTATTTATTTAATCAATTAGTCTCAGTCACCTAACAGTTGATTAGTTATATGTGGTCTGCTCTTGCTTGACTAGAATGAAAATCTGCAGCCACACCATACCAGAAGATTGGTGACCCCTGATGTAGGTCTTAACGCAATGATAATGTAGACTTAAATTACAGAACAGACTTTACCACACTAATGTTCTGGTTCATTTCTCTTTTTATGTAAAGAATTGACTTGTCTGTAAAATATGTTGTGTGTATCTGTCTAGAATCTATAAGTACCAGGCGCACGGCTATGCCTTTAGTTCAGTGGAAGAGCTGCTGCACTCGCTGGGGGGCACAGGATTTCTCAACATGACCCGCCGCTCTCTGTCCGAGTCTCTATTGGAATTGGGAGTATCCCAGCGCTTCATTGACGAAGTCATAGCTCCAATCATGCGGGTCAACTACGGCCAGAACATCAGCATCCCAGCATTTGTTGGTAGGCATATTTAAGGTTTTTTTTGTGTTAATCCCTAGAACTCCAAGTGTATTATTCAGTCTCAAGGCAAATCTTTCGGCAACCACTTTGAAACTGTCTTATAGTCTTTGAATAGTATAAGCATAGCTATTGAGCTTGCATTCCTGATATTCTCTGGAATGCTATTGAGATGTATTAGAAAATTATCTTCCACCAGCTGAGCTGTAAGTGATGCTAGGAATTTGCAGTAAGCCTGCCTCAGCTAAGCGAAGTAGGCGGAACAGGCTAAAATGTTTTAGCAGATCAGTATGATATACCATTCTGAATTTGTTGGAGCCTATTTGGAGTGACAGCAAAGGGAAGTTCCTGGTCATCTAGGCTTTTATGACTTGAACACAATCCTCCATTATGTGTAACTCTGTCATTGAATCTGGCTGGACACATGTAACAGAGTATCATCAGCATAAAAGTGAAATGCAACATTGTTTTTTATGGATTGTGTATCCCTAGGGAATGTGAATAAAAGGAAGAACTGAAAGAGCCCTAAAACAAAGCCTTGTGGTACATCATATTACACTCTCAGGGGTCGGCAACCCAAATGTTAAGAAGAGCCATTTTGTCATTTCAATAAAAATCAAACTACCTTGGGAGCCACAACATTTTGTGTCCATTTTATCATCTTGGCTATGTGCTGATGTACTAGTATAGGCTAAAAACCTATTATATAAACAAAAATGCAGACTTACTTTGCTCTGCTTTAAGTTTTAGCTAAGCCTAAAAGTAGAACAGTTTCTTGTAAAACATCTTTCAACGTTAGATTTTTTATGAGGCTGAAGTCAGCTTCTCATTCGCCAGCTTCTTGTTCTAATTTTCCCATTCTCGTTAAATGCTGCCTGAGGCGCCAGAATATAACTGCTGCACCATTTAAGGTGGAACGAGAGAAGCTGACTTCAGTTTTGCGACTTTTTAGTGTTTGACAGTTTATCGTTGCACATTAAACGTATCAGGAAACCAGCTGGAGTGCTTATAAACACAAATAAGTCAGTTTGTCTCCAAATTATCAATGTTCGTCTTAAATCTCTCTGTTTGCCTTTTTGTTAGCTACTAGCTAGGTGAGGTTGTCTGCGCAAGGATTATTTTATTTTTATCTAAAAATCGAATTCTGTTGTGGAGCCAGGATTCAAATGTTAATATGCTGCTGAAGAATGTAATTGATGAAAATAAAAACATTTTATATATATACACATGGCTTGTATCTGAGATGTTAAAAAGGAGAGTGAAGTTACAAATTAAGCAACTCATATTTGGCATCTGTTTAATCAGTTCACAGAATGGACACTGGAGTTCACTTCAGGCTTATATAGAACATTCTTCTATCTTCTTTTCTGTTGTTGTTTGTCAGGAGCTGTGTCTCTGGCTGGCGCTCAGACCAACCTGTGGGCAGTTGAAGGAGGGAACAAGTTGGTTTGTTCTGGACTTCTAAAACTTGCAAAGGCCAACTTCATCCAGGCGCAAGTTACTACCATTTCCCTCCAGTTAAAAGGTATTTTGTGTAATTGGTTTATTGGTTAAGTAAATAATAATTTGGTTTTTTTGGACACATGGATCTCGAATGGTGAACACAAGCCAGAATAACATTTACATCAGGGTTATCATAATTTGACTTTGTCTCATTGTTAGTAGATTATTATTTGTGTTGAATAAGCTATACACTTTTTCTTCAAATGTTATTGCAAAGATAATCACAGGGGATTGACCCATCTCAAAATTCTTCAGGCTGTGTGTTTCTGTTGCTCTTCCATGTAACAATATTATCCTTTAGTACTAGTTGATGTGCAAAGTAATTGTATTTAAAACTTAAAGGGTTATTCCATCAATTGTGTTTGGATATGAAATGGTGTACTGCAAAGAAACTTTTTATTTTATAATGAAGATGATAGGAACCAGTAGTTGCAGTGTCTCCTAGTCAGATGTATCTCTATATATTATGAGCCAGCAAAAACAACCAGTGAACACGTGCCACTAGTTTTTATAGGTAATATGTATATGTTGATAATTGTAAAATAGGGGTAAATCTGAAAAAAGTTCTTTGGATAATAATTTGCCTTAGAATACCCTGCATGTATCTCTCTGTATTTTAAAAATACATTGTAGACCAAAACTATAATAAAACAGTGTCTCAGGCAACGGACAATATATTTGTAACCATTATGTGTGATAACATTTTATGAGGGAGAATTTTGAGGAGTCATTAAAAGCATTAAAAGATCTGGTTCCCCTCTCTAGTGCTGTGACCAATTCTGACTTGATGAGTTTGTTTGTTTACATCTTAATGATTTAATTATACATATATTCAGAAAAATCTATGGAACTTCCTTTTAAGACTTTTTTTTATTCATTCTAGGTGAATCCCACCAGTATGAGCTCAGTTACACTACTCAGACTGACAAGGTGTCCGATTTCTATGATATAGTGGTAATAGCTACCCCTCTCCAGCAAAATGTCAACTCGGGCATCTCCTTCCAAGGCTTTGAACCACAGCTGCCAGACATCGCAGGATTCTACCATCAGACCGTGGCCTCCATTGTTCATGGCTACCTGAACTGCAGTTACTTTGGCTTTCCAGACCCCAAGCTTTTCCCATTTGCGAGTGTACTGACCACAGACACCCCAGGGCTTTTCTTTAACAGTGCTGCCAGCGCCTGTCCCGTTAACATCACTGCAGGCTTCCGCCGCAAGCAGCCCCAGGAGGCAGGAGTCTATAAGGTTTTCTCCCCTAAACCTCTGGAGAAGAACGAGCTGAAGACCCTATTCAAGTCCTACTACTCAGTCCAGGTCACTGACTGGCAGGCGTACCCTCACTATGGAAGTACTCAGGAACTTCCACCAGTGATACTTCATGACAGCCTCTACTACCTCAATGGGATTGAATGGGCTGGAAGTGCCATGGAGATGAGCTCTGTAGCAGCCAAGAATATTGCGCTGCTGGCCTACCACCGCTGGAACAGGCAGCTGGAAATGATTGACCAGAAGGACCTCATGCATAAGATCAAAACAGAACTGTGATCTCGCATCTTCTCTTCTTTTTTTGCCATTAGGAAGAGTGAGAAACTATGGTCAGCACTAACCTGGAGATTTTTATGTTATAAACTGTAATGGTTTGCTGTCTCAGACTGATCTCAAACAGCATTGTATGACTGTTTATTTAACTTTTTTTTCTCAGTAGAAAAAATTCAAAGGCAAAAGTCATTCTCATGGATAGACATTTGGCCACAATATATCTGAAGCAAGCAACAGACATTTTCAACAGGTAGCAACAGTGCCACAGGGGCCTGTGTTACACAGTAGGATTTCTTACTTTCCCTGCTAACTTTTAGCTTAGTTTGATCTAACTGTGGATTTTCTGTCTCATTACAGTGGATCACTTTTTACTGGGCTTCATCACCATGGCAACTTATGTTGCAAGGAAGGCTAACCAGGGATAGCCTTCTGACTAAGGTGGACCTCTCTGGTCTTTTTTGGATCACTTTGTTTTCTTAGTGACATTTGTGGCATCAATTGCATGAAAATAATTGTTTTCAGTGAAGGAATGAAGTTGTACCACATGGATGTCAAGAACATAAACAGTTATAGTTCTGATGAGCACTAACACATTGAAAGTGTTTCTTTTTACCCTTATAAGTGCTTTACTTTTTACATATTTACCTACTATGATTTCTTTTTCCTTCATTGAAAACCAAACAGCTCTGCTACTCTTCATATTTCACATGATTGGCTGTTCATCATAAATGTCACATTTTCGTCGTGGCCTGAGTGTCTAAAACTTGGTCATTATGACATAACTATGTGTCAATTGCGGACACATTTGAACGTGTTTTGTGAGACAGGCCTTAGATTGCCTAACTAAAGTCATTTATAATATTTTTAATTTATAATGAAGACATCACATATTTGATACTTCTAGTAAACATTAAAAATAGGGCAAATCGAAATGAATGACATTTTTTGCCTTGCAGAGCATGGCACTGAACAAGTCTGTTACAAGTCCAGTCATTTTATGGCTGATACCGGTTTCAATGGTGTGTTTTAAGGAATTTAAATCTAACAAGAATGTTTTTGTGCAACTTTGTCAGAACTAGTGTTATGGGGAAAATAGGAAAATTTTGATTGAACCTCAATTTCTTTGTGTTTGCTTTGTGACTACTACTGAATAAAGGCTGGTTATGGTTGTGTTAAAGAATGTGTAAGTATGTTGTAGCACTGATGGATGATGCTTTGATACTAAGTAGAATATCTGTCATGCTCATTTTCTTTGTGCCTGGTCCCATTTTGCATTTCTGTCATGATGCGAGGCCCCATACAACACTCTAACTGAGTGTTTATGAACTATGAATGTATATGATATTTTTGGTACCTGTATTATGTGGTGTGATTGTTCAGGAAGTTCTGCTCAGCTGTTATTTTTACGTAGCCAAGCCCTTTTAGATCGACGCTGGAGGTGAGATGAACTTGTGTCAGAACACTAAGAGCCAGTTTCCCAAAGTCAGATTGAGCCTAAGCATAGACTACAAAGAATATCTAGCCAATATCTAACCTATATACTAAATATTAGATACATTTTACATTCTCAGTGTCAGAATCATACCCTTTTTAAATGTAATGTATTATTATTTGTATTATTGAAAATGCACATGGTTGTTGCACAGAAACAAACATATATGGAACAAAAATGATAAAAACGGAAAAACAGTAATATGTTAGAATAAATTTTAAGATTTTTCTTAGGAGATAAATATAGAAAAAAAACACACTTTAGGGTATAAACACAATCGTAATGTTTCAAGAATTTGTTTTTTTTCTTTTTCTAGGAATTTCAATGTTGTATTCATTTTTGCCAGGAAAAAAAAATAATTTAGGTAGAAAAGTTTCAGGTAGAAATTCTTGTTGTTTCGATGTATGACGTCACCGAACACGTGATTTCACTTCCTGCTGTTCTGTACTTCAGAGTACCACTCGCCGATTTCTGTAATACATATTGTGAACATTTTAAACTTTTTTTTAACATCAGACCCGCCCAAACCAGGCGAAAATGGCTGAACACAAGTTTGCCATAACGATGGCCGTAATAACGCTGTTTTGGCTGTTTGTTGGCGGAGTTATCCCGCTGTTCGTTCCCAAAGGACCGAACCGAGGGTAGGTCACACTGTGCTCTTAACGAAAACTAGCTATTTTCGACCTCAGTATCATTATATATTATAACAATGAATGTTTTGCTATTTTGTTTATTAGTCTTTTTTTAGGATGCCTTGTTGAGCCTCAGTAGTAACGGAAAACGATGTTTGCAAAAGTCATCAACTGCTCAGCTTATTCTAACACTTGGGTTACTTCTGTCTTCTTCCTCCAGTGTTATCGTGACCATGCTGGTGCTTACTGCGGTTTGCTGCTACTTGTTGTAAGTAACTCGGCGTTTACTCTCACTGGTCACTAAACTACGAAGCTGCAATTGCCTTCGTATACGCCAGCTGCTTGATCGAATTGTCCCGTTCCACCTTAAACGGTGCCGCACATATATCAGTTACGCCTTAGCCGCCGGAACTGCTGCACCGTTTAAGGTGGAACGGGAAAATTCGACCAAGGAGCTGGAGAATAGGAAGGCAATTTCATCCTCCTCACTAAACTGGATAGGTTGTCGCAATTTAATTTTTCACCTCAGTAAACCTGCATGAAGACGTGAAATTTACTTTCCCACAAACAACTGTACTCCGAAGCAAGTACAGTAATTCACAAGTACGAATTCTGTAGTTATTTAAACGGCCCATTGAATTTTCCTCACATTTCGTCAGTAAAAGAATCGACAACGTACAGTCCGCTTCCCAGTCCAAACAGGCGAAGTATGGAAATAAGCTGCAAAAATAGCCCATTTTGAATTAAGTGGCTGCGTCCAAACCACGTACAATTTAGTACGGTTTTATGTGGTTTTTGATGTGTTTTTTTATGAGACAGGGCATTTACATACATTAGCATTCAAAGTTTTGGAATCACTTATCATTAATAAATGCTGTTACTTTATTCAAATTTAACTTGTGTAGGTTGAAATACTGTAAGCTAGACAGCAGAAAGTATTTTAAGATGTTTTATTGAATATTCATTTTTTTGGGAACACCAAAAAGTTTTCAGCCTGAGATCTGAGAACTGTGTTCTAAATATGAGCTATTCTAAATGTTAATTTTAATCATCTGCAACTCTGTTCATCATTCCGGACTCATCCAAAATGTCTTCATTGTTTACAGCTTCCTACTAATTTGTTGAAATCTGTAAGGAGTAGGAGCATTTTAATAGAATAATTTCATACATTTATCTGCAACATTTTTATTTTATTGAAATAGTGATCCCAAGCATTTGAATAGTGATTTTAAAGGCTAATGTATGCATTAGCTGTATGCAGGCTAATGCCTTTTCAGTCTGTAGCAGTGAACCTCTGCCCAATCACGCTGAAATTATAAGGAGTGTTTCAGCCAGGTCTGTGCTCAGGGCTCATTTACGTATATCATGTCTAAAAGGCACAGTAACAGAAAGAGAGTTGGAAAATAGTAATATAAAAATGAATGGTGTATAAAAGCACACAAACATCATAAGTGGACCTCAGAAGGAAAAATCCCCTAAATGTTGGGACCATGAATACAAACCGCTGAAGGTAAGAATGATCTAAACTCTGCCTGTTGTACCAAAGATAAGCAAAGGAGGGCGATACATGGCAGATGTGGATATTTCTAGCCTTTGTTGGTTTTGCTGCCAAAGCCTGTGGAGAAACAGAAAAGCCTTTTGTGCTGAAGTGCTGTGAGAAAGCAATGTGATTCTCAAGAGGATAAAGATGGAGACCTTTGCCTCCAGATACAACAGTTTTCAGATGACCACATTGTGAGCTAAAGACCCAAATCTCCTCTTGTAACCCTGGGGATGGCACCAAAAGCTACCTTTGTGCATACAGGATACGTCCAGCTCTTTTGCATGCAATTGCAGAGATCACTGTCTGTAAAGTAGTATTGTAGTAACTACTTATTTTGTTATTATGGATGTAGGTGCACAGATGATTTTGTATTAAATACTTTTACCATATTATACAATTAAAGACACAGTGCCATGATGTGATGTTTCATATTCATCTGTTTTATCATATGCTGACATTCTTTCCATGTTATAAGTAGATAAGCACTAGGCTTCACATGCAGACAGATATACCACCAGCTCAAACAGTCTGTCTTATACGGGCGAATCCTGGAAACAGCAGAAACAAACAGCGCAGCCTCCGTTCCCTCTGACTGTTTGTGGAATCTATTTACATAGCAACCCATTCATAACTATCAAGTCCATTTTTAAGCCCATATCTGAGTGTCACTCTATCATTTTGTTCCTCTCAGCGGATGAATAGAGCTGCATGCCACACAAGGACTTAGTAAATCAAGGCCGTACAGGGTTTACAGGTCCTGGGACAAAAAGATGTAGAGTCACAGTCCAGGGGTCTGTTTCACAAAGCAGCATTTCTTGCTTAGCCAGCTAATTTTAACATTGTTCTTGCTTTTAAGCAGAGTGAGCAAATCATATTACATAGATATTAAGAATGTAAAGCGGTTATTAATCCGGTGGCAGTGATGATGGGTTTTTTTGCTATAACTGCTTTACTTTATTTACATATATTTCTTTTACCTTTTTTGAAATCATAAACATCACACTTTCATGTGCATGTGCATGAGAATGCTCCATTCTAGAGAAACTTAGAAACTGTGGTGATAGGAACCAGACGTCTGAAGAATTTTAATACCTCTTAACGCTACATCACAGAACTTTATTACACAAAATGTTTACAAATACGTTGTCTGATGCCTGAGACGTTGTTTTATGATATTTTTGTTTTTTAAGATTTTAAACTAAAACATTTTTTAAAAACCATTTATGGTGGAGACGTACATGCAGAAAGCTGTAAGGCAGATAGTCCCCAGTGGAAACATATTTTTTGGAGTTACAACTATTTTATCATTATCAACCCTATAACAACTCAGACGTGTAGTTCTGCTGGTCGTTTTAGACAGTAAATAAAATGGCTGTATTTGCGCTGTGGATTGAAAATCCCTGGTTCCTATCACCACCACTGGAAGGAAAATCTGAGCCTGTACGCTTCTCTACAATACACCATTGCACATCAAACCACTCAGAATGATTTTGTGTACATTTCATCAATTGAATCATGGTGAAATTTGGGAAAATCACTGGAGTTCCCTTTGGAAAACAAGTTATCCGCGGTTCCGTTTGTGAAGCTGCAACTTAGTCTAAGTTGAACTTGCACTGTGATACAGGCCCCCATTGCTAGGCTTACATTATGTCTGGAAAACAGCCTCATAGTATGCAAAAGAACAGACAGTGAGTGATAGATAGAAGTGAATCTGTTTGGAGGATGGTTTAGAGAATGGGGTTTATAAATAGAAGTGGGCTAAATGGGGTGTCGCGCTTGATGTTTGACTAATGGTCCTTAACTTCCAGTCTATTTTGTAAGCCCATCAGGGGGAAAATGGATTTCTCTGACAAGCATTTGTATTTTTAATAATGCCGTGTCTAAGGACTGACACAGGCCTATTAGAGAGAGATTGGGGTTAGTGCATGCATCATTGGAAAACATTTGCCAGAACAGTCTCTCACAGGAATTGTAGTTTGTTCCTCCCTATCCTCTTTACACCTGCCCTTTTAATTCCCGGCATGATTTTATGATGAGGATACACAAGTGTTCCTTTTGTTTTCTCTTTCTGTTCAAATAAACCCCCCTAAAGGCACACATTATTTGTGCTGTCAAGGCTAATACTGAACACATTGTGTGGCTGGCCCTTTCATCTGCGTGTTTGTGTGAAACGGGTAACCATGACAAAAGTGGATCATTCACTTCTCTGGAATCCCGAAGAATGCAGCATTTGGCAGAAAAGTGAGTAAGAGCCTTACAGCTTATTGTGCCTTTGACATCATTGTTCTTGTTTCTTTACAGCTGGTTGATAGCCATCCTAGCCCAGCTGAACCCCCTGTTTGGACCGGCATTGAGCAACGACACCATATGGTACCTTCAGTACCATTGGCCCTAAGACAATGGCTTCATCAAAGCTTAAAGGACCTGGACCAAACCTTGCCTTACTGAGTAAAACAGTGTTAATTGGGATGTCTGATTCACAAGCACATTGACATGGCAATGTCAAAGGAAAAAAAAAGTTTTTGCACTTTTCCTTTCATTTTCAAAGCTCATGGCCTCCGTCTGTATCCAGATCAATTCAGGTTGAATAACATTTACATTCCGCAAGTGCCATATAAGTGCTGTATGGAATGTTGTGCCTTAAGCCTCCAACTTGGTAGGTTACACAGTAATTGCGAGAGCTCAAGCAGGACAAAGCCTCATTCAGGCCGCTTTTAAGTTTAAGTTTTGTTTCCTTCTTGGGAGTAATAGATGCTATTATTTAGCGAAGGACTTGGCGTGCAGCCCAGGGCCACAGGCAGATCCAAGCGCTCGGTGCATTGCAGAGTGCTGCTGACCGCCCAAGGCCTTGCACACAGCCCTGAACTGGCGGCAAGGGCCCTGCCCACCGGTGGAATCCTGCGCTTGTTCCTCTTTCAACACCTCAGCCCTTTCTTGAGCATGCATTCAAAATGTGATGGCAAGGGGAGACTTTTGAGTTTACATGTAGACGTATGAGGTTGATGCTTAAAGAATGTCACTGGAAGCTCTAACACTGTCGATTCACAATTTGAACATAAGTGATAAACTGTATAAATATGATCAGTTATTTGTTCCACTTTTATTGTATATGTGTGACCTTTTCCTTTGTAAGTACAGAGAATGTGACACTACGTTTGTCCCATCATTAAACAGCCATGACATACAGTATGTGAAGTGTTATTTCTGTTAATTGATGGTACAAGCCCTGTTTTTACAGAACACATCAAAAAAAGTGAATTTAAAAAAGGTTAAGCTATCAAATTCATCTGCCATGAATATATAAACACTATCTTACTTTGCATTTATACGTGGCGGGGTATCAGAGGGTGCAAACGTTTAGCTAAGACCTCTGGTCTTAGACTAAGTTATAAAAATATGAATGAAATTTTGAATTTGGTGTGAGACTGAACATATGAAATTGTTAAAGGGGGAATTTTTCTGCATCATTAAAAGATTAAGATGTAAACAAAGTTATTCATAGTGTTCATGCTATGACCGCGACCCCTGGTTCCAGTCCCCACCACTGTAAAGAAATCTGAGTCAGTAAGTTTCTCTACAACGAACCGTTTCGCTACAAAACCCTCTGAATGTCTATGTTTACATCTTAACGACTGCATTATGTAGACATTTTAAAGCCTCAGTAGAATTCCCCTTTAATTGGTTATCAGCATCGCTGTCTAATCCGGTCATTAAACCCCCTTTTAGAGTGATTCTCCAATCACACAAGCTTTGACCAAGACTGAATCCTAATGATGACAGCCTTTGTCGGAGTTCGGTCCACATTTCTCCTCTCGACATGAACGTATTAAGGGTTTTAAAATTGTTCAAATTGAGATATCTTGTTTTGGGTCAGCCCTGAAAGGGCCCTGCGATTGGCCGAGGAGAAAACCACGTGAAGAGAGAGTCACGCGCTTTCCAGGAACCCCGTCAGGAAGAAGATAAACAAAACAAACCAGAGAGGAGGACGGCGTGGATTTGGCGAGAAATGACATTTAAGTTCTCATAAAGACGAGTGAAAAGAGAGAGCAACGCCTTTTTTGATAACTGTAAGAGAAAGTTAAAGGTGAGTTGACTGCCCATCTGTAATAGGGCCACGGACAACGTCGAATTGGTCGTTTAAAATCACTAAAAACGTTGTCTTCTGCGGTTAGCTCGTATGCTAAAGTTGTGGTACCAAGCTAGCTGCTGCTGAGAGAGAGAGAAAAAGGGGAGGGACGGAGGCCATAGTTATCAAGCAGCACAGCAAAGCAAGTTTTAGTTCCTCATGAATCGCTGAACTGTTTTCTGCAATATTGCCATGAACAGTACCGTACTTACATGTGTCAAAAAAGTCTATTTTTGGAAATCGTACCAGCAGCTGACACTTTGTGAGTAGCGCTGAATGGAGCGTTAGCTGGCTGGCCATCAGTCTCACTAAACAGCTGAATTGTTCTAGAAGGTGTTTGCTGTGCCGTACAGATAAATGTAGTCGACTGTGGGATGAATAGATAGCAGGTTAGTCCATTTGTGCTTTAATCCTAGCCGTGTTTCAGCGTATGTATCCTCGGATAAAGTTGTAGAATTTCCATATGGGGACATAAAAGCAATGTGGATAGTTTTGCTTCAGTCATCTCACCCATGACATGCTAAAACACGATCTACATTAACCAACAAAGAGATCACCGTTTAGATTTGAGACAGTAAACCGACTAGATTCACTAAACGCTAATGTTACGGCGTTTTATTATGTAAAAGTTGATGACATTAGGAAAAACCCGACATCCAGTTTTTTTGTCGCTCTAATTGAGCGCAGCCTTCAATAGATCTGTCAACGTGTGTTGATAGATTATTGTGAAAGCGTTATGTCGAAAAAAAATACACATATATAACGTTAACAAATTGAGGGTCACCTAAAGCAGACTAGCCTGGGTACACGCCCCCCTCGAGCACAATGCCAGTAGTGACACCCGAAAGTTACTCTTCTTCGCGTTTTTGTGCTTATACGTTGGCAGCATTTTGGCCTACGTTGTGATGTTTGTATGTACGTTGGGGATTTATTTGCACTGGTAGTACGTTTTATCTGCTTTTCGTGTTTTCACTGTTCAGTCAGCCAGCCAGCTGTCATTTCCACGTTGAGCAAAATGGTGCCTATTCACAATATATAATGTAAACATCAAGCGGCTCGGCTTTCGCCTCTTCGTAAAAGTTTTAGAGATAATATAATCGTATGCATTCTCATTATTTACGTAACCCGAGGAGGCCTTCAATATTGTTTGTTGCTCGTTGTCTCAACCGATCATGAGTGGGGAGGGATATATAGGCTATATTGTCCGTGATTGACACCCACCTCGTCCGTTCGCGTTTCCGCGGAGGCGGGACGAAGCCTCGTGTCTGACCAATGAGGTGACGAGAAAGCGTGGGCGTTGGCGCAGTGCAGCAGGGTTTGGTTGGTGTTTGTTTTCGAAAGGGGCCATGTTGAGTTCAGTGTTGTGGAGTGTTAGTAGGTCAGAGTCAGACATGAACCTTCCCCTCGGTTAAAAGTAGCTGCAACTGCTAATATGATAAACCTGCCATCGTAGCAAATCACTAATTAGGGCTTGTTTCATCGACGATCTTGCATACGGTCATATTTAAAAGCTGAAGTTTTTGTAGGTCATTTTGTTGCCCATGTAAACACTGGGTGGGTGGTAACACATTGGAAGTAGATTGTTCATTTGCATTAAAAAAGTGATTCGATAGAGCAGCTTCTGATGGGGAGGGAATGTGTAGTCTGGAATTCATATTGGTAGTATGGTGAGATTATCATATAGATTATAGATAGACATTTGTTCCAATCCAAAGCCCTGATCTTTCCATTGGAGCTCGTTTTCACAAAGCATCTCTGAGTAGCACTGCTGGTGAGCTCATTACAGAAACTGATCCTGGATTCACAGTCTTGCACTGAAATGCTTTGTGAATACCATGCCTGATCTCCCCCCACTTTAGATCCTGTCCATGAAACATCTACGTAAAATCTAGAGTAATCTCTATATGCTTTAAATATTGGCAGTACACATTTTATAAATTGCCATAATTGGAGCAACAGCCCAAAAGCACAGTGCATTTTTCTGTATTATGCGAGTAACACTTACTATTGTTTACTACTGTAAATGAATTATTTATGCAGTTATTATGATTTTACATCAAAACTTTAGAACATACAGATTCAGTGTTCTTACCGCTCAGTTTAGGCTACTTGGAACAAGCTAGATACACATGTTTCAATGCTGTTATGTAATGAATCACAGGCTGTGATTGAATGACATGGCCATCCATTATGAGGAGGTCATTCAAAGGTTCAAAAGAGATTATTGTTTGGAGCGTCTGGGGAGCTGACTGGTGGGGATAATGCTTTAGGCAAGTTGCTTTAGAAATGCACAACAGAGGACCCTCCTGCTCAGTGTATGCTGGCAAGACAGACATGAGGACACAATTCCAATTCTGTTATACTTCTTCACCTTCCAAAACTACAGAATTTCACACAGTAGATGTTGTTTTTAAAAGCAAGTGCACAGACCATCGACGCTATCGCGGGGAGGTAGCCGTGGTGCTGTCTCAGCAAGCAGAGACCTCTGACATTTGCAGAGTAGCTTCTGTGTTTGAAGCCCGGACTGCAAATTGCGAGCCTGGCTGTAATTAGTCCAGCGCTTACTTTGCAGCGTTACAGCTCTGGCAGGCATGAGGGCACTGAACTAATAAGATGGCTCCTACCTGTTCAGCACAGCTAACGTTAAATACGAAATACAATCACTAAACTCCTGCGCCTTTTGATACTTCCTGTATTAGCCACAGTGTGTCTGTAGCTTCGGAACGAAGGCCACCAATTTGATCACAGCACGCCCACGCCTAGCTTAAGATTCTTCAGCTCATGCATAACAAAGTGGTGGCCTCCAAGCGCTCACTGCAGAGAAATGCCTGTATGGTAGAATGGAGGGCTGATTGATTTTGAGCTTCTTGGTTTTGCTTATATTAATGGACTTAGGGGGCACTGTTTCAGACCAGTTATTAGCATGTTAAAATTCACTGATGTGGGTTTTACTTAGGGATTTGAATGCTGATGATGGGTGATGGAGAACACTGATAAGCAATTTTATTTGTCATAAATGTGATAGGAACGAGGGGCCATGTTTTGGGCTAAATGTGAGTGGGAACGTAGACATATTAGAGTGGGAACAAACTGAATGTAAAATTTCTAAACCAGAGATATTATAAAGGAAGAGACTGGTTGGAAGATGAATGGAAAAGCTCGTAACTCTCAACATGGTGTGTATTTAGGGAGGAAGTCCCGCCCTTCAATAAGATGAGCCTGTTGGCTTGCTGGTTAAGCTTCTAACAGGAAATGGTTCCCTCATGTGAAGATCCCCTCATCTGCTGCAATTAGAACAGGCTAGGAAAACGCATTTTTTCCATTAGTTGAGCCAAATGATAAAACCTATTTTACCTATGATTTTAAGTATGTTTTGTTCATTTTGGTTCTATTTTGGGATTTGTACGTCTCTTCTTATTCAAAGAGATAAGTGCTTGGTCTTGTATAAGCGGAAATAACTGCGAGTAGACAGACTTTGTGAAGGTGGTGGGGGCAATGGCGCACTTGTCAACATTGTCTGAAGGACAACAAGCCTGCTGTTAGCCCATGGATATCACATACGTTATCATGCCTGAAAAATCCTCCCAAAAACGCCACGTAAGCATGTAGACGTGTGTTGTACATGTAAAGAACACAGTACATGTGGTAAAAATGAACATCACTTCTTGCAAGGAAAAACAATTCTGTTAAACCAGACTATTCTTTAGCTTCAGAAGATATCACTGGACTATGCTAGCTAGCTTGTTTTGCTTTGGTTATCACTCGTAGTCCTGATGTTATAACAGCATGGGTGGGTTTAAGAGGGGGCGTACCATACACTAAAACAAGTTGTCCTCAGACATGTATTCTCATTATAAGATTACAAGATTACGTCTAGCCCCAAGAGACTAGCTATTATGTTGCTATCTAAAACTGTATCAAACAACATGAAGAGCATCATTATGTAATTTCAGGAGCTACTGCACACCCGAAGCTTATAACTTTTTGTCTTATCTTTTTTAATAGTCTTTTCAAAGAAAGTAGTAGGCTACTGTGTTGCCAGCAGGATTGAGTCCAATTAGTAACCTGCAGACTAGCCAAAATAAACAAAGTATCACAGTACTGGCATGTGTTCTTTTAATGTGGATCTAAGGATCTAACCTAACATTACCTGGAAGATATTGTACATGGGTGAAATAATCTTTCTTTCTCTTTGTTCAGTTTTTTCCACCCAGCGCATTCTTTTGCAACACAACTGGTTTCAGGTTGCCTCTCACTTATGATCAGTTGCTCCAGGATCTCTTGAGGCCCTTTAATTCTGATCAGGAAGAGCGTAGTATTCACCGGGACACATGTAGCACAGTATCAAGCAAATATCCATTGTTATTACATCATTCAGTCAGTACTGTGTGCTGTAATATTTCTTACATGTAACTTGAACCTGATCATTTAAGTAAGTAAAGAGCAAACAAATAGCTGTACCTTTATCAGAGTTTTAGAATAGAATGAGGAGAGAATTTGCTTTAGCTGTTCATGTGCGGACATGAGCCACAACAACGGGTGGATTTATTAATTGCAAATAGAGAGAACCCTGTCTCTGCTCCGTTCCCTTTTGTAACATTTAACAACTCTCCTAGTCAGCACAGTGGAGTTGGCCATTTAATGCAAACTCAGTTGCTCCCCTCTGTCCACCATCACAGTCAGGAATGCACCAAGAGTACAAGCCCTGATGGAAGCTTTGCAGCCATTGTTATGGAAAGTTTTGCATGCAGATATTCCTGGTTTGTCAGCTATGAGAGAATAAGCCCCTGCAAAGGAGTACGCAGAGTGCTAAGGGAAGTGGTGTTTGTCATGTTTTTTTGTTTTTTTTTCTCTCTGTGGGCTGCATGCAAACCCTGCTGTGTGCGAGAGCTGAGGGGTGATAAGACAGTTGTTTGACTTGTTCACTGCAACAAGAGGAAATGATGTCATGCAGCATAAGAAGAGCAGGGTTGTTTTGCTCGCCGTCGCAGCTGGCCAGCACAGCTCTTAATGCTCTTCAGCACATTTTTACCAATTTTATTATGCAAAGGACGTCCAGTGGTTCGGGTCCCTCTGCTTGTCTCTGTCTGTAAGCAGAGGGGAAAGGGTGCTGCCGAGGTTGTTTTAAAAATAGCCCCAGCGCTCAACGAGCTCTCGCTCTCTCGCCTCCCACCAAACTGATACACAGGCTTCAGCCCTGCTGTCTCTTCCTCCATGGATCTGAATCGCCTTTTACGGACGGCCTCCGTAACTTTTTTCGACCATGGCTAGACTTTGTTGCAGGGCCACTCGGAAGAAAAAAAAATTCTCATCTCTGCCATCATTTATGTCGTCCTGCACTGTGGAATAGAGGCCCATCAGTTGATGCTGCTAGTGCCTGTTCTAATTTCAGCAAACCGCCGTTTGTGACAGCTGCTTCCAGCCACTGTTTGATTGTCTGCACTGAATTGCAGTTTGTAAGTGACGTTTTGGTTATGGAAGCTTTGATTACAGGACTGTGCGAGCGGAGTCACTGACGTAGAGAAGCATATAGCACTGATATTCGTGCAGATAATGAGTGTTATTTTGATATTTCCACCAGCTAACTCCTCATTCCCATCTGTCCCCTGTGTCTGCAGAGAACAGTGAACAGAGGAGGACAACGCGGCCATACTTGAATGTGCGGCTAAGGCCTCCACGTTACAGAAAGGCTCTTTTGTTTTATTGGTCAAATCAATTTTCTGCCAAAGATTGACAAAAGAACAAGGCAACTGGGGCAGGAGAGGTGGCAGAAAAGTTTCCGCCAAGGAACTGGAGATCTGTGCTTGGCAATGCCTCAGGTAGGGCTTTTTCTCTCTATTGAAATGCCTCAAACATATTCTAAAATGGTGCATGTGAAAGATTCTCTAGACTGTATGCTTCTTCTTTCCTTTGTGTTTTGTCCAAAGATCTGCCTAATGTTAAAAATAGCTAACTGTAAACTAGTATTTGTAGTACTTCTTCCAATAACTCAGTGGTATATATTTTGATCTATTGAGCAGCCCAGCATCAGTGGAATGGATCCTCCCTTTGGGGATGCCTTTCAAAACTACACTTTTGCTGACCAGGCACTGATCAGCACAGACCTGTTGGCCACCAGCTCTGATCCAGACTTCATGTATGAACTGGTGAGTTACCTTCATGTCTGTGGAGGGCGAAAAAATAAAAAGGCCGACAGCCATTATATGTGCACTATTTTGCATAGTTTGTGGACCACTTAGATTTTTTTATTTTGTTATTTCCTGTAGCATATGCATAGTTAAGTTGATTATGGTATCATTTCTGCAGGACAGAGACATGACCTGTCGCCAGAGTCCTAGAGGAGACATATTTGCAGTTGGGGACTGCAAAGAGTTTGACAGCATGGAACATCTTCCAGAACTGGTTGACAATGACCCAGCTCACAGCTCCAACTTTGAACAGTGGGACACATATTGGGAGGACCTGACCAAGTACACTCGCCTCACCAGCTGCGATATCTGGGGCACCAAGGAAGTAGACTTTCTGGGCCTGGATGACTTCTCCAGCCCTTATCAGGATGAGGAGGTGATAGGCCGTACACCCACTTTGGCGCAGCTGAACAGCGAGGATTCTCAACCTGTGTGTGACACTCTGTACCATCCAGACTTGTTGCTAAGTCAAAAACAGCCTGTGTTCCCCCCTCAACCGGGGGGCAAGAAGATGGGCAGGGCCAACACCTCTGCCGCTTGCAGCTCTTCCAACCGCAATCCTTTGCCGGATTTTGCTGAAGGTTCCCAGAAGGCCACCTGGCCGGTGCCCTCAAGCACTGAGACTGTGGCAAAGGCCCAGATGCAAGGAACTAGCAAGGTTGTGTCTCCACAGCCAGACAGCACAGATTATGTACGTAAGGCCAAGGTTCGCATCAGCATACCACGCAAACCCTTGCTAGAGAGTTGTGCTCAGCAAGTCAACATGTCTGCCAGCTCTCCACTTGTCCAAGAGCATGAGACAGCTGCTTCATTGGTCAGTAATACCCAAGCAGTCACCATTGGCACTCCATCCACTGTAACCCCCATGGTTTGTGAGAAGAGAGTGGAGATTCCTAAAAGAGAAGCACCCGCTGGTCCTCCAGAGGTGGGGCCATCGAGAGCAATGCCACAAAAACTTCATTTCCCGGTGGCTGGTGGCAGCGAGACTTTGCTCACCGTGAGCTCCCTTGGAGCCGATGCCGCTGCCACTGCTGCTGCCGCTGCTGCTGCTGAGAAGAAAAAAGAGGAGGAGCACAACTACTCACTGTTCCTAACCAGGGCCAGACTTGCAGGTAAAGCATTAACTGACATGGAAGAAGATGAGGAGGAGGAAGAAGAAGGAGAGGAGGAGGAAGAGGAAGAAGAAGAGGTAGAAGGGGTGGATCTGGATGATGAAGACCACGATGAAGGCTTCGGCAGTGAGCATGAGCTCTCTGAGAACGAAGAGGAAGAGGAGGAAGAGGATGAGGACTACGAAGGGGACAAAGATGATGACATCAGTGATGCATTCTCAGAGCCAGGTGCGAACCCATGTTTTTGTAAACCCTAATGAACGTTGGCTGTGTTCATTCAGTAGGTTTTCATTATAGGTACCATTATCCAGATGAGACTCATGAGATTAATTACTCACAAATGTGTTTGTAGTTTGTATGTGTCCTTGATAATTCAGGATGTTGTATGCTAAGCCTCCTATTCAGCATGCTAGTGGGTTTAGAGTCATGTTTGTCCTGTTGGATGTCAGTTAGACCTAGTGTGAGCTCTTATTGATGAGACACTGAAAACTATGTATGGTCCGCCAGGCTCTGGTGGTTTCTGAGAAGGTGCTGTTTCTTTTCATATTATTTCACCCTCTTTCTTTTTAACTATTTCAGTGTGGTCAAAACTGTAACTATTCTTCTCTCTTTTGAACAGGATGTGACACTGACATGGTCGAAGATGTTAAAGGTCTGACTGCTGGAATTTCCAGGAAGCGGGGCAAGCGCCGATACTTTTGGGAATACAGTGAGCAGCTCACTCCCTCCAAGCAAGAACGAATGCTGAAACCTTCAGAGTGGGACAGAGACACCCTCCCCAGCAACATGTATCAAAAAAATGGCCTGCATCATGGTAAGTTTAAACAAAATTCCACTCACATTTACCTCCTGTCACAGTGCCATGCATATGCAGAATGTTTGGAAAAGGACTCCTTTTATAATTTATTTTTTTTTGTCTTCTTTTTTTTTCAATATTTTTGTGAGGAAACGCATATTACATTTCTTAGGGGTGTTAGAGAGGTGTCTAAGATCTGTCTTTCAGAAATAATTTGATTTTGAAATGCCAAACAACTATCAATTTTTTGCCCTTTAAGCAATGAAACTCTCGTCCAGACATGAAAATTAGATCACAAGTAAAGTCGTATGATGTTGACAGTTTTATTTAATGTGCCACTGACACTGCTACCACTTGATAAATTTTTTTAAAGTGTTTGTAATCTCATTAGCTGAAACTGTGATGTTGCCTTAATTTTAAAGGCTTTCCTCATCTGTTTGATTGTACACAAATGTGATGTCATTGCATTACAATGCTAACTGCTATATAGAATTTATTTTTGTAATGGGCTTGGGTGTGAGATATAAGTACATTATGCCTTAACAATTACCTTAGTTTTCAACAAACAGTACACAGTGCTTTTTAACTTTACACTACAAAAGTGATGTGGATCATTGTAGCAATCCACTCACAATGCGTTATTTCTTCGCTACTGTTGGGAGGTAGCTGTGGAAAAAAGCCCCTTTCAAATTTATGTAACGCACACCTCCGTATTTATCGTGCATTATTGATTTTAATATTCAATTTTATTGATTGATCAGCCGTGTTTTTCTTGTCATAGAAATCCATCCAAATGATGGGCCAAGACAGGGGTGCCCAATCCTGGTCCTGGAGATCTAACACCATGCAGAGTTTAGCTCCAACCCTAATCTAACACAGCTGATCCAGGTAATCAAGGCCTCTAGAGACATCTGAATGTTTGAGCCACTTGTGTTGGATCTGAACTCTCCAAGGTGGTAAATCTCCTGGACCAGGATTGGGCACCTCTGGGCTAAGCAGAAAGTCCATGAGTTTCACCTGTTGTAATGTTGATGGGTAATAAGCCTTTGTCTGTCTCAGTAGCTTGTATCAAGGCAACATGTTCTTCCACATTTTGTTTTTCATGGCAAGTAAAGTTGTTGGCAAATTGCCTAATTTCAGCAGTAAGTCAGTGTGAATCTGAAACGTATTTTTTTTCTTATGTACTGATGTATTTCTGAATGAAATGTGACATCAGTGAGCCAGCTGAGTGTTTTCTCTCAGTCATAGTTGGAGGTGGTAGGAGAGGGAAATGAAACATTTATTTTTGTCCACTGGTGGATAGTGATGTACTCAAAAATCAGATGTTTTAGAAGTGAGCAAAACTAGTAAGGAAAAAAGGTCCATTTTGACTTCAGGTTGACTTTTACCTTAGGAGCTGCTATGCTAGATAGTGGTGTAGGCTGCTACAATGTTATATCAAAAAGTACCTTAAAGACGTAGTTTAAACTCTTTTTTTTTTTTTTTTCTCAGTTTAATATATTTCCTTGTGCACTTTGGAAGACACCTGTGATGACTGGGGAAAACAAGCTTTATTTCAGCTTTTGTATAGTGTGTTTTAATATAGAATTTTCTTAATCTGTGAAGAGACCACTGTAGTCGTGTCACCGTTCTGTAGTCGGCACCATGCTCTTTTGCCCATCTAAGCAACTTCGGGTCTAAAAGGAATTTCTCTATGAGAAGAATGAATGGGGTTCTTGAAAACTGCCTCTGTCACATCCTGCGACAATAAAAAATGTGCCAAAGTTGATACGTTTTGTCCTATGAACATTCTTCTCTCAAATATAACAAGATCCTCTGGATTACGGGGTCAGAATACGAATAATCCTGTTGCCTGATAGCCTAAATCAGCCTATTAAAATATCCCAATTATTATTTTAATGCTGATAACATTTTCTGAGGACATTTCCTCAGTATAATTGTCAGCTCCTTGTTCGAATTTTCCCGTGCCATCTTACATGGTGCAGCAGAGACATTTTGAACTGCTGTGCCACTTAAGGTGGAACGAGAAAATTTGGCAATTATACTGAGGAAATGTCTTCAGAAACTTCAGCTTCATTGACAGTTGAATTTCATGTAAAGATCATTATTGTTTTGTCCTTTTAGCTAATGTTTGTGATAGCTAAGCACAACTGCTGCACCCCTTAAGGTGAAACAGAATAACGGAATAACAAGAGGCTTGAAATTAAAGCCTCATAGTTTTAACACTGGTACTATTTTTTTGATAAGGAGTTGTAGGCTATCAAAATGTTCTACCTAGAGGTTTTATTTACAGGCATCTATAAAATGCCTATAAAGTCTGCTACAGTACAACATTTCGATAGCACAGCTCGCAAGAGCATCACCATAGCCCGCCTTACTTTCGTGTAGCTTAGTGACGTCAAATTGATGCGCAGTAGCTTTAGCTTGCGTGTAGCACTATTAGTATTAAGGCTCTTTAACGACCTCATAACTCAGAGGATCCAGTGATAATTGGGAGAATAATGTACACAGGACAAAACGTATCAGGTTCTGAATATTTTTATTTAACGCAAGGGGACGATAGAGGCGATTTTTTGAAAACTCCATTTATTCTGGCCATAGAGAAATCGAGCTTAGACCCGAAGTTCCTAATACAGAATGATGCACGGTCTAGAAAGGCTTGTTTTCAATTTCACTTTCAATATGATTTATCATGCTTAAAATCAGTTTACTACCTCTTGACAAATCTGCTGTTTTCAAGCTCTGAGGTGAAAAAAGACAAGGCTAGACACATTAGCAGAACAGGCTAGTGCGAGGCTAGTAACATTAGTGGAGGTAACAGGGCATTAGCATGTCTGTTTATTCTAAAACACTGACTGCCTTCCCCTGCCTTCAAGCCATGTGATCTTGTTTGGTTTTCAGAGGTTTCGATATGGCTTTAATTGTAATGTAGTAATGGCAAAATGCTGAGCGGGGCACTGAGAAACTGAGCAGTGCTTGTAGTCAATCGCAAAGTACTGCAGCAGAATTTTTGGACGCTGCATGACACTGTACAGTGTATGTGGTTTATTGACAATGCTGTCTTGGTGACTTAGCAAACACTTAGGAATTTAGTGTTAACTGTCAATATATACCTGCCAGAGACATCTAAGAAACGTGTGCTTATCTTAGACACCTCCTACATATCAGTTTTATATCACTAATTTGATAATGGTCAGAAAACTCAGTTGAAATATCACCCATGTAGCGTACAAATTGCATTTTTTCAAGAGCTTAGCCAAGAACTAACATCTTCAATCACAAAAGGGATACAAACATTTGTCTGGAGGGCAAATCATGTTAGCATTCAAACTGAAATACAGAAACTTAGGTGTACTTAATCCGGGGCTTACATTCATTACTCACTATAAACCTGGCATCCCACGATGGCACATTTTGTTCTTGTTTACATCTGAAAAGGTGTTTGCTATGAAATCACATTAGAAGGCTGGGTTGTTGGGTATGGTTATTCTAATTATGGGCAAGCTTAAAATATGCTAATAATCTGTTGAATCTGCCTTTTTGTAAAAATACGCTAAAACACTAGAGTCTTCACATCTCTCAGTTTCTCCAATGGAATATACAGTGACGAGCAATGCATATGTGAACTGGCAGGGAAGGTTTGTTTACTTGGCCTCCTTTAAACCAGACAATCTTAAGTTCTGCTTAGCTTATCAGTCAGATGTTTATCCCTCTAAATTTTGGTATTGTGCAATTATGTGGTATAGTTTCTTCTTAGATTGAATGTGAAATTTATTCCAACATCCTGTAAAAAAGGTTTAATATTGTAGCTGCAGAAGGATGCTACGGTGGGTGAAGCATGGATGGCTCTGTTATTTTCAATTCAGTCATGTGACTAACCATTAGCCAGCAAAATACAACGTAAAAGATGGTAAACATCCAGACCAGTATATGAGCATTGCTACGCTGTATTTGACAACAGTAGTTGCGGGAACAGTGATCATTCCTTTGAGGCCTGGAGGTAATCCTTAATAATAAATAAATAAAGTTACTCTGTATGTCCAAAATTATCTAGACATCGGCTTTAATGTGTGAATTCCGCTGCTTTAAAGTACACCTAATATTATATTTTGTGTTAAGTAAGAAATTGTTAAACATTTAAACAGTATTATTTTTATGCCCAGGAAGCTATTATAATGCTATAGGAACATCCCTAACTCATAACAGTTATTAAGAAAACTTTGTGATATACACTATATCAGAATCAGAATCGTGCCAATATTGAATATTGCCAAAAGTATTCACTCACCTATCCAAATAATTGAATTCAGGTGTTCACTTCCATGGCCACAGGTGTATGAACCCAAGCACCTAGGCATGCAGTCTGCTTCTACAAACATTTGTGAAAGAATGGGTCGCTCTCAGGAGCTCAGTGAATTCCAGCGTGGTACCGTGATAGGATGCCACCTGTGCAACAAGTTCAGTCGTGAAATTTCCTCACTGCTAAATATTCCACAGTCAACTGTCAGTGGCATTATAACAAAGTGGAAGCGATTGGGAATGACAGCAACTCAGCCACGAAGTGGTAGGCCACGTAAAATGACAGAGCAGGGTCAGCGGATGCTGAGGCGCATAGTGCGCAGAGGTTGCCAACTTTCTGCAGAGTCAATCACTACAGACCTCCAAACTTCATGTGGCCTTCAGATTAGCTCAAATACAGCGTAGAGAGCTTCATGGAGTGGGTTTCCATGGCCGAGCAGCTGCATCCAAGCCTTACATCACCAAGCGCAATGCAAAGCGTCGAATGCAGTGGTGTAAAGCGCCGCCACTGGACTCTAGAGCCGTGGAGACGTGTTCTCTGGAGTGAGGAATCACGCTTCTCCGTCTGGCAATCCGATAGACGAGTCTGGGTTTGGCGGTTGCCAGGAGAACGGTACTTGTCTGACTGCATTGTGCAAAGTGTAAAGTTTTTGGAGGGGGGATTATGGTGTGGGGTTGTTTTTCAGGAGTTGGGCTCGGCCCCTTAGTTCCAGTGAAAGGAACTCATAATGCTTCAGCAGACCAAGAGATTTTGGACAATTTCATGCTCCCAACTTTGTGGGAACAGTTAGACATCTTATTAAACCCTATGGATTAAGAATGGGATGTCACTCAAGTTCATATGTGTATGAAGGCAGACGAGCGAATACTTTTGGCAATATAGTGTACATGATTATGTAAATTGTAAATGACCCCTTGCCTTCCAGTTTCTAAACCCCTTCCTTCCTTCCTCTACTTTGCATGCTATGGTTTTATTTATGGTAAATGGGGAATGCAGCCCTCTATATTTGAATAGATTGAGCAGATAAGATCAAGCAAACAAAAATAAGCCCCTGATCTTAGTAATCTTTTAGTAATCAGAAAATGTACTAGTGAGATTTGCAATTCATCACCCAATTAATGTAAAACATACTACTACAACTACAACAACTGCCTAATGGACTAGCTTAGCAGGCTAATAACGTAGCTCAACGCACCACAAAACCTTTTGACATAAAAGATTATGTCTTTCTGTCATTTTAACACCGGCAACTCAACTTCACTTGCTTGGATTTGAGTCTTTAACCTCTAAACTTGTATCAGTGAAACATCAGTACCTGTCACTAAAGATCTTGTGGATGAATGCAGTCAAATTCTCACAGCAGTGTTCAAGCACCTAGTGTAAAGCCTTCCCAAAATAGTAGAGACTGTTACTGCAGCAAAGGGAGGACAGACTCCCTATTAACACTCTTGATTTCAGAAAAAATGCTGGATGAGCATTTCTTAAACCTAGACTAAAAAAAATTTCCAATGATGATTCACCACTGGTACTCCAGCTTAGTCAAGGCTTTAGCTTAATCCATGTCTGGAAAGCTGACACAGTTTATTTTTCCATGATTTTCCTTTCACTGAGTTTTTGACTTATTGACTGCTGCATTTTTTTGTGTAGCTTTGACTGATAGGAATGGCATATTAGGACCAACTTTAATCTACAGGGTGATTCACAAAGATTTATCCGATTCCAAAATGATTTATTTCACTTGTAAACCATTACAGCACAATGCAGTAAATTGTAAATGGTTTGTGAACATAAAACGTATTATGTAATTTTACAAGTGCTCAATATATATTCTTCACAGATTATCCCTTGTCTTTTTTTTCTCCTTACATAGGTCCCTCCTGTCTCTATATTTTGTGTATATTTTGCGTATAATTAATATATTTGAGTTTTTGTATTTTCTTGGATTTTTTTTTTTTGTTTTACTTTCTGTAAAGTGATTACCTGAGCCTCACCACAAGCATTTCAATGCATGAATGTCCTGACATGTGCAAATGAATGTCCTGACATGTGCAAATAAACTTGAAATTGAAACTATGACCTCCTCCATACAGTAAGAAACTCTATGACCCCCTCTTTCAGTTGGTATGTGATTGGTTACTAGGCGCCTCATGGTTGTAAAAATATGGCAATTTGAAATCGGATGAATCTTTTTGAATCACGCCGTATTTTGAAGGGTATAAGGTACTTCTAATATTTAAAGATTTTGACTGGCTTTCTCAGGAAAATACACGCTAAAGAAGTCACGGCGGACGGACGTGGAGGATCTCACTCCTAACCCGCGGAAGCTGCTGCAGATCGGGAACGAGCTGCGGAAGCTCAACAAGGTGATCAGTGACCTGACGCCTGTCAGCGAGCTGCCACTGACCGCTCGCCCTCGCTCTCGAAAAGAAAAGAACAAGCTGGCCTCCAGGTAGAGTGCACAGTTTTTTCCTGGAGCTGCAGTTTTGTATAGCCCATTTCCTCATTCTCTGTGAAAAGCTGAAAAGCTCACCTCTAAAGTAAATTTTGTCCAAGAGGATGTTGTACCATGAAGACTTCCAATTTTATAATCATAATGTTATTTCTATATAAGTGTGAATATAGCAGACCATTTATACAAAAACATTGCTAGAACTGGACATGTGTTCAAAGTTTGTACTTTTAAAGCAGAATTGCAGTATGTTCAGTTTAAAAAGAAGAAACTAATGTTCCTGCACATTGTTGTCTGTACTTCCAGGGCATGCAGACTGAAAAAGAAAGCTCAGTATGAAGCCAACAAGGTCAAGCTATGGGGTCTTGGCACTGAATATGGTACGTCATTTTGAAATGGAAACTAAACAGCTGAAAGCAAATGCCTGAGATTGTTTCACTTCTGTGATGGAATTTGATAGGGAAATTCTTGGCAGGAGCTTTTTGTTTGTGGGCTGTACCATTTTTGTTTGATGATGGAGCTAGTTGTTGTGATGTTATTGTCACTGAACATCTTCATAGTGAAACGTAATGTTGGTAATGTTATGTTTAATTTTCATCTACAGATCGATTGCTGTTTGTGATAAACACAATCAAGGAGGAGATTGTGAACAGAGTTCAAGATAACTCGGATAACAACGGAACAAGCATGGCAGACAAGCTTGACAAGCTCATAGAGGAAACACTTGGTAAGTTGTTGTTGCAGAGGCATTTGATCTAAAACTTGTAGAAATTTTCAGTTCTTTACTTTTAAATCTTGAAAGTTAGTACCGTGCCATGGGAATATTATATGAAAATGACACCTGATTTAACCAGATATTTTGGTAACCAAGTATTTGGTAATGTAGCAGTAAGGAATCTGAAGTGTTACATGTAAAACATGGCAAAAGTGTCATTATATTAAGTTTAATGCATGACATTGTATAGCCTACTTTGCTTTCAAACTGATAGCTATATTTGAAGCTTGTCTCTTCATCATTTTTCAGCTTAGTCACTTAACATTTAAAATGCTAATGTTCTGCATAAGTTTATCAAGAAGGATGACACACATTAAGCCATTTATCTGGTATTTCTTGACTGAGTAATAGCCTCTGGACGCAAGTAGCCTCATAATGAATTCTGTGCGTCTTCAGAATGGAGATGGAAAAGAAAGAGAGATTAAGAGCTAACTAATTCTTTTTTTTTTCTATTTTCCCCCATGCAGTGCAGTCACCAGTGGCCGGCCAGACTTCAGACTTTGTGAACCAGATCCTGGAGAACACTGGCAAGGGGGATCCTACTGGAGGTTTGGTGGGACTACGCGTGCCCACATCAAAAGTGTAGAGGCTGTACAGCGAGGTGCCCTGGCGGGCTTTTTGGAGCACACACTCAAAGCCATCCGCGCCATTCCTGTCCCACACTGTAACGGCCCGACACTCTGCATGCCCATTTCACCCGGAGACGCATCCTCATGCTTAACCTGAATACATGCATACGAACACCTGCCGGTCTGTGCATCCGTATGTATATATTCACTTTACGCACACCTATGGAAATGAAACTAGTAGTTAACCTCTGCACTCAGTAGTCTGTTTCTTACCATGTGTGCATGTGGCTGGTTCAAACTTCCATCTGCAGGCCGCCATTTCGCGAATTCAAAAGCCAATCTACGAGATACCTCCAGAAATAGTTTGTCTTTTTTTTTTTTTTTAAAGGGAGGGGGAAAAAAAAGCAACCAGTTCCTGCTGTAGCCATTTTTTTCTTGCATCCAGCTAAATCTGTCAAATGCCTTTTACCAGATTCAGAAAGCAGAAGTGTTCTCTGTAAAGAAATTATTTAATGTTATGGTCAGTGATAGAATTGAGGATTGAAGGATACGTTACTGAATAATGCACACAGTTTTATTTCCTGATTCATGTTAAACATTGAACAACAAACAAAAACACTTCTCTTCCAGAGCTCTGCTTTCCTTCTCTAGTATTGAGGCATTTGCAGACTTAAACAAGATACACATTTATACGCCAACTACAACAAAGTCAATGCAAATACAGAAGCATGGAATACCTTATTGGAAAAATGTACTGCAAAAGAAATTGATGCTAGGGGTATATAAATAGGACAGGGATGCACAGTGACAATTAGAGAGGAGCCTGGGCTTGGATGTTTTGTTTCTTTGTCTTGGGGTTGTCTCAGGGTAAAGAGAGAGCGTGAGAGATTACTGATTGACCGGTGACAGATGGTCAAGTTGAAATCCCATTCTTGAAATGGACAGAAACCATTATTATTGTGTACTGGTGACCCCACAAGAAACCATTTCCTTTACACACTTTGGTTTAAAGTGCCCTCATGTCAAATTGCCCTTGACGTTTATTTGCGAAGTCGCACTGAAGGGGCTCAAAAGTTGATTCCCAGACTGGGTCTTGTTCATATTTGTACTTTAATAAAAGTAAGATTCATTGTGCCTTGTAGACATGGAGGTGGGGGAAAACGAAACTTGCTCGAAAAAAGAAAACAACAAAAAACGAAAAAAAAGAAAACAAACAAGCGGACCATTTTCGAGAAGGAGAGCAGCAGCCAGTGCGAGAGAGGTCAGACTTGTGGGTTTGTTATGTATTTCGGCTTGACAAAGATACTCTGAATGTACATAGGAACATGGAGAATACAGATTTATGCCACAGAGTCTGTGCTATGTATCATAAGATGGCTCTGACAAATATTTACTTTACTTTGTTTTTTGTGTGTGTTTAGTTTCTCCTCTTTTGGTACTTCGTTTAAGCGAGAATGGGTGTGTGAGTGTGTGCATGTGTGTGTGCGTGTGTGCGTGTGGGGAAGGGGTTGTTTTAAGACAACTATTCATGTTAAATACAAAAAGAAGATATTTGCACACTATATTCTGATTGTTTTGTTTTTGTACCAAAGACACATGCAACGTAAAATGGCAACTAGCCAGTTTAAGTAAGGTTTTGCACAGCTAACCTGACACCGTATTGAATGTAGGAAAGAGGTAGGGTCAGGGATTTTCAATGAACTGTGAAATTCGCTTGGGTCCAATTATCTACAGAAAGAAGCATTCATTCGCATCCTCATAGAGCTCTCTTGTACTGTTCTTCAGCTCTCAAGTAGAAGTGTTGCTCTGGAAACGTTTGCACCCAGTCACTTCCAGCGGTTTGGTTTCCCACCATCGTAGTTTTGTCAGTTGAACGCTATTACAAAAAAGAGTTGCAGAGCTGAAAATGCTTCTGTTTTGCATATGTGACATTATCACTCAACCCAAAGGTTTACCGTTCTTGCTATCATTAAAAATTGTAGAGGAGAATCCACACACAACAATTCTCTATTGAGTACTTTATCTTGCATATATAATATGTATAGTCATGAATTCATGCACATGCACACTTATATAGATCTATTACTAAAACGACACCTTTTGACTTGCTATGTTAATCAGCATGACTCATTTCTGTATCTTTATATTCAGCAAGTATCCTTGAAATAAGAGAGAAGAAAAGAATTATTCTCTATATTTTTGTAGTGGTTGCCTTGCTTGTTTTCTGTTTGTTGTTACAAAGGAGACTTTAGAACATTTTGGAGAAAAAGCTCACCTTACATGGGGAAACGGACACTTCCTCATGACATGGCCGACCTTAAAGGCGTCTTACATTCACAGATGTTTTAAACCTGTAGACAGTCAAAAGCTAAGAGAGAACTCGGACTTTTAGGCAAGAATGCATTATAGAGAGAGAGAGCTTTGTAGTCTCACTTTGATAGCTAGCTGCTGCACCTTCCCACTTGTTCAGTCTGAAAAGCTACTGCAGTTTTTTTCTGCAGATGTTTGTTGTTTGTAAAAAGGCTCGTTGACAGTCACTTTTGGTTTTTGGTGAAATTTGTAGAGCTCTTATTTTTGATTGAATCAAAGAAGGGAGAATATTTTTTTCCTCCGAAAACCCTGAATATATTTAAGCTTAAGAATTTTGTACATCATAGCAATTATCTTTTATTTTCCTCTTAGGTTTTGGTAGCATAGTAGATTCTCTATATACCGTCCATGTTAGAGGCTACTGTATTGTCAGTGTTTTTTTGTAAATAGGAAAGAGATTTATCTTCTTATCTTATAAATGTTATAAATATATATATTATGTACATGTACTATATTACATGTAAAAAACGAAAGCACTTTGTCTACACAAAAAGAAAAAGAAAAAAAAAAAAGCATTTTTTTCCTTCCATCTGCTGCTAAACCGGCCTCGTTTGAATGCTGCAGTGAGTACTTGATTTTACCATCTTGACCAGGAAAGGTTGACAGTGAGGTCTTGAAAGGATGGGCTAACTTTTGAGTCCCCCTGTGTGACGATGACTACGGCGTCACAATCTTCATTTGCCTTCAGAAGACATTTCCTATGGAAAAGTGCAAATTCTGCTTTGGGTTTTTCTTCAGGTCGATGTACAGTGTTGACGCATTCTCCCTGGACGTTACCAGTGGCGAATATTGTTATCATTGATTTTTTTTTTTTTGTACTTGTACTTAATGGGGAAAATCTGAGGTGTTCAAGGAAGCTTTGACTTCTTGTTAGTGACTCAGAAGAAAAAATAAATATATATATATCGCTGTACTGTAAGGCAAATCCGTTTGCCATGGGGGAATTGATCGGACTACGTTCCTTTTGCCTTTCCAAACACCCATCCATTCTCAAAAGACGACAAGGCTGTAAAGCTTTGTTGCTGTGGCAACTTATCCCGGCCTTAATTGTGCCATTTTCAACTAAAGCTTCTTAGCCTGGCATTGGCTATACGTAATTATGACCGTTCTTTAATAAAGAAGAAAAAAGAAAAAAAAAAAAACAAACAACAAAAAGCACTTGATGGCAAGTGACAATAAGCACGGGGGGTTTAGGTGGAAACGCATGTCGTTTATCTGTCGGTGGCCTGCTGTATAGGGAGAGTTTGTCTTTGTTTCTTGCGTTGTTTCAGGTTCTTGTATCCAACATTTATGGTTGTGAGTTTTAGACTCTGTGGCATTCAAACAGTTAAGGAAGTGGTTGTTATTCAAAGCCAGTAACGTTTTTTGTCTGTTGTTTATTTTTAAATTAAAAAGGCAAAAAAAAGTCTAAGCTAAGCTATAAATTCAATTTATACACCATGTGAATTTATATTTAGTTCAGTTCAGGATATATGAGCTGATAAGGGGCCTCTGCTGCAAATCAGGGTAATCTGAGAGAAATTAATTGAAATGAATTGAAAAATTGAAGTTTTCCAGTTTGGGGGAAATAATTTGAAAATATGAATTCACACATTATTTCAAGCTCTAATATATCTAACATACCAGTTGATATTTTTTTAGTACAGTGCACATTTATTTAGCATGTACTCAAACATCATTGTACTTCATACTCCAACATGTAATGATACTGCTTTTTCAAAAGGGAAATGACATTGCTTTATTTCTGATCCAACTGGCAGTTCCTTTTATTTGTTTGATTTATCTGTTTCTTTGCTTTTTCTTTATTTTATTTGCATATTATCCTATTATCCGTTCACTTTAAACAATAACTTACCAGATTACATTCTTAAAAAGAGTAAGCTAGCTATTAAATCCAAATTCTGCTTCTATTTGTCTGCACTATATTGATAATTAAATGAATGTTGGGGTTAAAGCTGCTTAATCATGTTGTATAGAAAATCAGTAATCATTCCTTGTTGTATTCGACTTGTATGTGTGTGCCCACTCCTCGAGCTACTAGCTAAAAACATTTTTTTTATTGTTCATCAAGAAATTACGCATTTGCCACTGTATTTGTACAAACAGCAAGTTCACCTAACGCACTTGGATCTCAATGGAAAATTACTGAAACATTTTCTTCCAAAATTTTCCAAAATGGCTACAGTACACATTCAAGAGGAGACGTACGTGCATTCATATGTGTTTCCTTTTCGTTTTGTATCGTTTTGGCATGCCTATATATATTTTTTTTTTTAAATATGTAAATATGTGCGTGTTGTGTATGTAAGAAACATTGCTCTCAATGGTGCACTATGCAGGTCTTACTTCCTGTAGTAAGATGGGATGTTGCTTTAGTTTTCAGCTTTCCCAATTAAGAGGCTTGTGCTTATTTTTTTACCAAGAAATTTTATCTTGATTAAATGGATAAAGTCTAAACATTGTTCTTTTAGGTGGCCATAACTTGCTATTCAAAATGTGTTTAGACCATTTGAGATTTCAAGAGGCGGCCTGTCTTATTGTTGCTAAAAAAATAAACATGCTCTTTCCAGTGTATTTAACCTATTGGATGCTGTAGTTTTGTCCATTTGGTTGGTTGTTCTATGTTTGGAGCTGTCACTTATGGACCTTTACCAAGCACTCTGCCATTTTCTGTTTTGTTTTTTTGCTTCTTTTTTTTTTTGTGGGGGTTACTCTGTAATACCTTTCATAAAAGTTGAGCGTTCTCAGTAGGTACAAGAGTAACAGATTAGAGACTGTCATTGGTTTAGAGTTTTGTAGAAGCATGAACTGACGCATTCCTCAAACTTTTGCTTCTTTGCTCGTAAACGTCCTGTTAAGAAGGCTTTACGCTGTACCTCTTTGGTAATATTTGAACATGTTGATGGAGCACTATGACGAAGTATGAATATACATAAGGCATTACTACTGTGCATGCTGACCTAACTCAGTTGATATATTTTCACACACAGATATCTAACTGACCATCCAACAAGCCTGTGTTAAGGTCATTATTTGCAGGATATATACCTACTGATTGATTCATTGACCTAAACCAATGAGCACAAGGGGTGAAAAGAGGTGCCACACATACTTTGGTGAGGATAAAACTCCATAGTGCTCCAGTCCTACAAGCCGAAAAAGACCCACGTTGCACTTGGTTTTACAAAAAAGAGAGTCAACATTATTTTTGAAATGATGCCTGCAAAATCAGGTGCCTTATTCAAACAGATGAAAATCCACTTGATCTATTGACATTTTTTATGGAAACAAGATTTCTGCCCATTATGCCAAGAACTAAAACATGATTTTGTTTTATCTTTTCTTTTGGTTGTCGAACAGCATCGAGCAGTGAGCTTTTTGCAGATGAGAACTGTTGCTGCTTTGCCTCGTACAGTTTTCATGTAAAGATGAATGTAGTCTTCCTTCAGTGGAATCAGTTCAAACTAAGTTCATACACTTTGATTTGTGGAACATTTTGGTTGAGAGACTATCCAAAGAGTGCTGCAGTCATGATGTAGACTCATTTTAGACATGTTTATATTGTCATATATGCGTATGTTTTATTTTTTAGTTTTTTTTTTTTCTTTTGTATTTATGCTCAAATCTGTAGATTCTTACACAAGTTTGAATTGTTTCTGCCTTTGTACTTCTAGATCTTCACCTTTTACTTGCCATAACATTTCCTGTATTTTTTTATTTATTTGTCCTCAGCTCACCAACAATGATTTGTAGTGGAAAATACATTATTCCATAATAATAAAGATACAAGAGAAGGCCTTGCTGAAATACATTTAGCAGACCCATACTGGTGGATTAGGGACTTCCATAGGAGCCCTCTAAGGAACTGGTAGATCAGCTTTGCAAAGACAATGTCAAACCTTGTAAGCGTTGTGTCCCCTCACCAATGTTCAAGATTACTGTGCCTCTCAAATTTTCTGGTTCTGCTGTTCCTCAGATTGCTGGGTAATGACTTTTCTTGGAGCAGTATCATTCATTCACCAACAAACAGAGATGGCCTTCAGCAGTTGTTCTCCAATGAACAAAATCAAAGTTTTCTGAAAACACACAAACGACACACAGAGAGGTGCGCATTGTTTGACCTAGATCTATCCGAGACCGAGTTTCAATCAATGGAGGGCGGGAAGCAGAGGACTGTCGCTGGTTTCGGGGCTGATGTTTTTTGCACTAGCCAGCAACAGATTAAACAAAGCAGACGTTTGCGCGGGCTGGAGGGAGCGTGTTTCCTTGTATCCAATCACCTCTGTCGAGAAGCATTGAGTCTTCTCCCAATAGTTGCTGCCGCATGGCTCCCTCCATCTCACCGGAGGGAGAAAGCTCTTCGTTTCAGTGAGTTTAAATCAAAACTTGGACATTGGGTAGGAGTCCCGTCTCACCGCCCATGGTGCTGAATTTCAAAATACGTACTTGAACACCCTCAGTGGCATGAGAGCTGTGACTTAGCATCTGTTGTCAGGCTCATGGACTTTGCCCCCCATCTTGCAAGGAACTGTGCTTGGACAGTGGCCACTGTGACATCAACTCAAGCCGCTGCAACAGCCGTGCCAAGGCCTCGCGCTCTCAAAAAACTAAGGGCGACCATGTCGGACTTGGACTGAACCTGTGGTCGGGTGGGAAAGGGGTGTGTAAATGTAGCGGTGATAGCTTTTTTTGTTTGTTTGTTTGTTTGTTTGTTTTTTTACTTTGAGGAGGACATGGAGAGCTAGTAGGGTCACCTGGACTGTTGGGCCCAGATCTCTCAACTTCGCACTGAAGTGCACTGGACACGTTCAGACGACTACCACACAACACGGCGTTCCCGATGATGCTAACAGCCCTTGTACCTTTTCCGAGCACCACACACAAAATACACACAAACACACACCATTACACTGCAATGATTTACATCTCCTTCCAAACTTTTTGCCAAATTTCCATTGAGTTAGAGCTAATAATTGACCTTCGACTTTTTGGGTGTGGTTCTCAAAAATGAGGAACAACCTGTTTTTGTTTGTTTTGGAAAATCCATACAACGTTCAATTTTACGACGACCGAAAGAATTCAAACCCATTTGAAAAGGAAAAAAAAAGCTACACAATCCATGACCTTGATGTAATGCTTCTGATGTTGTATGGTATTCTACTAGATAATTTAGCATGGGATCTTTAAGTAGCTAGTACTGTGTGTGTACTCCCCAAGTGTAAAATTTCTCTTTTTGTCACAGTAGGAAGGCTGTATTTCATTGCTAAGTGCTCTGTTATAGATCTCTTGGTGATATTCTTAAGCAAAATTCTGCAGTGTATCCTACTGAAACTAACAGTTACTTGATCCTATTAGCAATGTCTATATTTGTAGTTCACATATATGCCTGTTCAAATACAATATCTTGACAGTTGTTCTATTTATGTTTCAATGTTGTGCTGGGTTTATACTTTTGACTTTCTCTCTTTCTCTTATTTTTGTTGTTTTATTATTTTTAGAGGCACAATTAGTTGGAAAACAGCTTGGTTAATTGAGCCTTGTTAATGTACAGATGTGAAGTAGGCTTAAATTCAGTTGTGATCGACTTTTGAACATGTGTCTGCTTGTGCTATTGTGCCTCTCTTTCTTTCTCATTTTGTATTATCCTTACTTATGTCACTGCATCGTATCAGCCCGGAGTTGGTACCACAATTTTGCTTGTAACCATGATAGTCTAATTCTATTATTGATTTTAATATCGGAAATAAACATTAGAAACAGCAGCATTTGGTCTGTGAGGTCTTTTTATGTCATAAATGTTGCTTGGATTAATAGTGGAGAGCAGGGCACAACCTAATAGGGGGTAAAATGTAACGGATATTTTATGTAGTTGTGCAAGTTGTACATCCTTTTGGTCATTCCCTGTTCCCATAACACAGTTATCTAAATTTTGACAAGAATCTATTTCTCAGAATTCACCCTAAAACATGATGTTTTGTACCATGAAAGGATCTTTTTCATCATAAGTGTGTTTCGTTAATTAAATTTCATTGTACAGTCATATGCAAAAGTTTGAACACACCTGCTCATATTACGTTTTGATTATTGTTTAAGTGAAATTCAGTTCACACATCCTCTACAGAGAACACATTTGAATATGGTATTCTCTGCAAATTTTAGTGCACAATTTCTATTTATTTGCTGAGTTTAACATATTGGAATAAATAAAACAAACAGTACAAATGTGCCAGAACTTTTGCAAAAGCCATATTTTGTTAGATTTGTCCCCAATATGTTAAATTCTGCAAATAAACAGTAATTGTACATTAAAATGTGCAGAAGTGTGTTGTCTGTAAAAGATGTGTTAACTTATTTTCACTTAGTAAAGCAACAAATATATAAAGGGCGCCCAAACTTTGCATAGTCACCTGTAATATTTTACTCACCTGCTTGGTTGCTGTAACATAGTACCACAGTGAAAGCTAGTCAGGCTAAAGTACAGCTTAAACAGAGGTTTTACACATCAACAAAATGTGCACTGATTCCCCAGTGTTGATTGGCTTATACACAAAATCATACAAAAAAAATTATCTTTAAATTATTTAGCAAAACGTGTTAGTGTTAGTTAGATTGTGCCCTACTCTCTCCTACATTATTGCCAGAATGGTACAGACTGGGGACTTGAAGCCATGCTTTAAAAAGGCTGAAAATAGGCCTGTACTTTCTGTGTAAATTATAGTCAGACTTCCTAATTGTGCCTTCCCCTACCCTCCCTCTCTTCCTCCTATTCTCCAGTGTTCTCCTCTCTCTTCCTCATTCCGTCTCTGTTCAGTTTGCAGTCATGCATTTCATTGTCAGCATGACACAGCAAACTTTCACCTACAGTCCAGCCTGTCCCACTATTAAAACAAATCAATAGTTATGAGCTTGGGTCTCCTTCACAGTGCTGTCTCTGAGGGACTATCATGTCTCTTATTGACTTTGGCTTTCTGTGCATGCCTGGTAAGCTTAGAAATTGTCATGGAAATGATCCATATATACTTAAATTATATTTTTTAAAGGTTACATCTGAAAATGTCTTATTTTGTTCTGTTAGAGGTATTCAGTTCTAAGATCATGCCTAAGTACTGGGCTGAAAACAGTGCATCATAGATCATCATTGATCTAATTCGGAACACACACACACATTATCTATGCCACTTATCCTTCTGGGTCGCGGGGTAATTCAGAATAGTCTACCCAAAAATACCCAGCTGACAGTGTGTCTGTGGTCAGAAACTGACCTCTGTAAATGGCTAAAAGATAAAGTCAAACACACTGAAAAGGCATAAGAATTTATGTCAAAGAGTTTGTGCAATGATAACCTAAAAAGGTATCAAAAAGCATTGAATTATATTTTCAAAAATTGTACAACAACCCTATTTTAGGTCAATAATAAATGTTTCTGTATTAATAGGACCTTTTTATTAGCAGGTTAGGGTGTGTGAGACTTGGGTTGAAATTCTTCAGGAAAGCAAAATTTCAGGAGGAAGGCTGCTGATCACTGGATTAAGCAGTTAAATGTGTTTTTTTTTATTTCTACATAATTAATTGCTTAAAATGTTAAGAAAGTCATTTAGAGTGGTTTGATGTGAAATGCTCTGTTCCAGAGAAACATACAGAGTTACAGTTCACAGTGGTGGTGATAGGAACCAGACGTCCGAGGTGTTTAGTGCCTTTAAAAGCTACTTCACATAAAGTTATTACACAAAATGATTATATATATTTCCATATGCATGAGACATTAACGGTGTGATGCAAATTAGTATTCAAAGAATATTTTATTTGGCACTATTTTACTTTCAATAACACTACATACAAAAACTCAGAAGACATGTAAAATGGCTATATTTGTGCTGTGGACATCGTGACCTCTGGTTCCTGTCTTAACCACTACGATAAAGAAATTTGGGTCAGTAAGTTTCTCTACAATAAGCCACTCTGAATGGCTTTGTTTACATCTCAACAATTGAATCACCCCTTTCACAAATATAACATAACGTACATACAGGGTTGGGCAAAACACTCTGAAAAAGTAATGACGGCTGAAAACTGAATACACAAATATACTTAGTAATGTATTCTGTTACAGTAAATAAAAGAGTAACGTATTCTGAATACATTTAGAATATCTGGCTGTCAGCTTTCTTCATGTAATTGTTCTGTTTAAACGAAGTTCTGAAAATTCTCAACTTTTTCTCTCTCTCACTGACTGCTTCCATCCACTGCTGCTCCCACAATCCCCAAAGCAGAAGCCCAGTACTACACCAATGCTAAACTATCACTCATAAATATGTCCACTACTGAGGAAGTCATTAGTTTGACGATCCCTCAAAAGAGCTCAGTAACAATGAGTGTATTTACATGCGCCCAATAATCCAATCATAATCGGATTTCTTCAGTTATCTGATTATTCAAATGGTCATGTAAACAGCATACTCCGATTTCTTAGATCGGAGTAAGGTCTACAAATCCCATTAAGAAATCCGATAAAGAAAGCTGGGTTTTAGCTCAGTAATCGGATTTCTCAGTCCATGTATACTCTTACTCGGATTTCTTTCTCAGTTCTCATTCTGCGCATGTGTGAGAACAGACCGTGGTACCGGAAATAAGCAAGCAGCGTTGCCGCGAGATGGCAGCAAACCACTTTTGGAGTGAGTGAAACCAATACATGCTTGAAATGAAGGATTTAAATATTCTTCATCTTCTGGATGATGTATGTTCATATTTTCAGGTAAAGTGGCGCGATGTAAAAAAAAAAAAAGCTGCGACATTAAGTTTGAGTTTTACGTTATGTTTACGTCATGTTTACGTCACGTCTTCTTCTGTGAGTTTATTGGCTTCAAAGCAGAAGTCTGATTACTGCCTGACTTTTGTAGACCCAGAGTTTCCCATTATCTGATTATTCAAGTGCATGTAAACGCATTGATTGGATTACTGACAAAATCTGGTTTTCTGCAGTTATCGGATTATTAAGTGCATGTTAATGCACTGATTGAAATAACTGGCTTATCACTGATGTAACCCAGAAGGATAAGCGGTTAAGATGATGTATGTATGTATGTATCACTGATGTATCAGTCTGCTCAGGCTTTAGTGGGCAAAGAGGCCGTTAATTGAGGTGCTCTTTAGAGTTCGTCTAACGATCATAGGCATGTGCGCTGATTCTAAAATAGATAATAAACAAGTATTGACGGTGTTTCTTTATATGTGCTTTTTTGTTATCTGATGGGTAAGTATTCTCCTAATGATGTAAAAAGTAACTGTATTTTGAATACTGCCTTTACAAAATGTAACTTGGACTGAATACGTATTCCCAACGCTTGTATTCCGTTATATCCCAACCCCGCTCATATATATTATAAGCACATATATATAGTTTACCTAATCATTTCAGCATTGTGTTGTGCTGTTCGCAGTCATTCTGTATGAAGTGTGAAACGCTGGAAAAACGCGTTTTCATTTGGACCGTTTGCTCACCGTACCACAACAAACATGGCGTCGTCCTCTGACGTCCACGTCCGAATATGTGGGCAAGAAATTATCAAATATGATTTGGAAATTAAAGCTGTGATTCAGGTAAGCTGCAGCGACCTCGTCCATATTGTGTTCGTCATCATCTTCAGAATTAAACAGTGGAATTATTTTGCTTAGCTACAGTAACAGTAACTTGTGAGCTAGCCAGCTGCCTAGCTCTAAGCTTCACAGCAGTTCCTATGGCTCTTTGGTTACTGAATTAGCCCGCTAACTAGCTACGTAGCTAGTGTAAAAAAGTACTCAGTGTTAGCCATGAATAATTGCGGTTAAAATGTGTTACTTGTTTCTGTTTTACACAGCAGGCTGTATTTTTCATATGTTTTCTAAGTTTCCCATCAACTATTTTCCATACAAGGACATACGAGAATGTTCTGGACCCCAGACTGTGCTAATGGAGCTGAACGCTGCAGTGAAGGAAAAGTTCAGTCGGTTAAGACAGAGAATTCAGGTGAGAACGCAAGTTAATATTTCATCCAAAAATAAATAAGTGATAGAGTTCTTATTGTATATTATGTGAAGAGACCATCCTTCATTAATTTAAGGTCAAGTGAAAACGGATATTACAGTATGTTGAATTCACTTGCATTAAGGAAGGGTAAAGTCGAAAAAACAAGAATTTCCAGAACTGGAGAAAAAACATTAAAAGATACAAACGGACTCCTAACATCCTTGCAAGTAAACCACCAAAACTCTCACCATCAGATAAACAGAACTTAAATCTTTAAAAGACAGGAGGAAATCAAGCTCCACTCTTGCTTGAGAGCTGAAAAAAATTACAGATGCTTCTGTCCATTCTTCCACTGTGAGAGGACATCTCATCACTTTGGGTCTTAAAGGATGTGAAGCTGTCAAGAAGCAATTACTGAGGAAGGAAAACGGACAAACTGGTGTTCTCAGAGCAATGGACTGACCACCCCAATGGTCCAGACCTCAACATTGTTGAATGTGTTTTGGTTTACTCGGATCGTGAGAAGCAGAAAATACAACCAACTTTTAAGACTGAACTTTGGAGATGTCGAAAAATATCCCTGCAGAATTCTTTGAAAAACTGAAAAAAGTCTCTCAAACCTGCCGACTTGTACGCATTGTGCATAGCAGGTAAGCATTTTGATATCAAGATACACCTTTGATGTCAAGGTTCACTTGAATTACACAAAAAGCTGGTGATGCCTGTTAGTCCAATTGTGCATGAGCAGTAATCTAATAAGAGGCAGCAGCATCTTGCCTTCCAAAAACTAATGAAGAAGAGTTCGACCAATCATAGTACTGGGTTCATTCCCAAATATCAAGTGGGGATGACAAATGCATATTGTCAGTTATTTCAAGAGGCTACAAATCGACAGCAACACAAAGTGTTTTTATGCTTTCGATCAGGATACATACACCGATTGGGCATAACATTATGACCACCTCCTTGTTTCTACGCTCATTGTCCATTTTATCAGCTCCACTTACTATATAGGTGCACTTAGTAGTTCTACAATTACAGACTGTAGTCCATCTGTTTCTCTGCATACTTTGTTAGCCCCCTTTTACCCTGTTCTTCAGTGGTCAGGACCCCCATGGACCCTCACAGAGCAGGTACTATTTGGGTGGTGGATCATTCTCAGCAATGCAATAACACTGATGTGGTGGTGGTGTGTTAGTGTGTGTTGTGCTGGTCTGAGTGGATCAGATACAGCAGTGCTGCTGGAGTTTTTAAACACCTCAGTGTCACTGCTGGACTGAGAATTGTCCACCAACCAAAAATATCCAGCCAACAGCGTCCTGTGGGCAGTGTCCCGTGACCGCTGATGAAAGACTAGAGGATGACCAACACAAACTGTGCAGCAGCAGATGAGCTATCGTCTCCGACTTCACATCTACAAGGTGGACTGACAAGGCAGGAGTGTCTAATAGAGTGGACAGTGAGTGGACACAGTGTTTAAAAACTCCCCAACCCGAATAGTACCTGCTCTGTGAGGGTCCATGGGGGTCCTGACCACTGAAGAACAGGGTAAAAGGGGGCTAACAAAGTATGCAGAGAAACAGATGGACTACAGTCTGTAATTGTAGAACTACAGTTCTAGTGCACCTATATAGTAAGTAGAGCTGATAAAATGGACAATGAGTGTAGAAACAAGGAGGTGGTCATAATGTTATGCCTCATCGGTGTATCTTCTTTCTTCACTTGTACTTAATGACTTTAGACTGGAAGTTACATAATGAAGGATGGTCTCTGACTATTGCACAGTGTCATACTGAGGAATAGATATAGATGTACCCTTTTCTGCCTTTGTAAGAGCAAGTGTTCTTGTTGGTAGGATATGGAGCAAATGGCTAAAGAACAAGACAAAGAGTCTGATAAAAATGACATTCTAACTGAAACAGAGGCCCATCGCAAACAGATGTTGAGGTGAGAGGGCCACAAAGTTCTTTTCATTCTGTACATGTGTCTGTATTTGCTGTCTTTGTAACTTCACTCTGTAAAAGCTATTTTCATACTTTTGTACCAGTAACCAGACGGCATGGAGGAAAGCCAACTTGGCCTGTAAGCTGGCCATTGATAACAGGGAAAAAGATGAACTTCTCCATGGCGGTGACTCATCAGTAAGGCAAAGGTAAGTCACATTCACTGTGTATTGCTTAACTGGAGTAAACAGATATTCTCCCATGGTTTTGCAGGGAACGGGAAAAATACCAATCCCATAGTAAGGAATTTCACTGAACACACAATAATGCAGAGGAAGGAAATGCTATTGGTGGCTGGGGTGCCTTGGAAAGGGCTGTGGAAGATCTACCACTTAGGAAAGTTTAATTCCAGCACTAATCTAAGACACCTGGGCTTGCATGCATAATGTTTCTCAGTGTGTGAGCACTGATCTAAGATCTGTTCCTTTCAGTAAAGTCATCATAAATAAGAGAGGAATCTGATTCTAGATTAGTACTTTTGCTTTGAGAAACTTTATGAATCCAGATAATCAAGTGCTTCAGGAGCCTCTAATTAGAGGCTGGGGTCATTTGTTTTTAGTCAAAAGGCTGGTGTGGCTGCAGAGTTCCATTTTAACCAGTGTAACTAATCAGTTGTTTGAAGACTGAGACCAGTTGATTAAAAGTATTTGGTGTGTTTCCACTTGATTGGAATGCAAACCTGCAGCCACACAGGCTCTTCCTTGGTAAGATTGGAGGCCACTGCTCTATGGGCTTCAAGTAAGTTGCAGATACTGTAGAGCTTTGGGTTATTGATTGATTGATTTCATTTATACAGTGCCTTTCTCATTCCCAAGGTTGCTTCACAAAGAAACCATCAAGTAAAGAAATTAGAATAGCATTGAGTGAAGAAGTAGGTCTTCAAATGAGATTTATAGGATGTAACAGAAGAACAGTGACGGAGAGAATGGGGAAATGCATTCCAGTGTGCAGCAGCACTCACTGCCCTGCCACTCATAGAGGAAAGCCTAAAGTCAGGTTAGATTACTGCCAGAGAAATGAAAGTAACGTGCAGATCGCTTTGTGTGTGTTAGTACTCTAGCAGCAGAATTGTGAATCTGTTGAAGTCTAAAGTGATGTCTAAATATTTAGCAGGATGATGGATAAAAAGGGAATTACAGTAGTCAATATGAGAGCTGATAGAAAGCATGGACCAGAGTTTCAGCATTTCTGATATTCAGAAAAAGGCGAAGACGGGCAATATTGCGGAGGTGAAAGAAAACAGATTTAGTGATGGATAAAATGTGAATCGAGGGATGCCAAGGTTTCTAACGAACTGAGTGGGTTTAAGTGTCACAATATCAATGGCAACAGCTGAACAGTTTAGAGATTTGGGGCTAAATTCTCATTTATCCAGAGCCTGAGACATGCTGTCAACACCTGTACCAGGGACTGATAGTAGAAGTATTACTGGAAATGGCAGTGGAATGTGATATGAGAAAAAGCCAGATTGAAAAGGTTCATAGAGACTATTTTCAGTAAGTAGTTGCACGTCTGCCACTTTTTTTTATTACTTTTGCTGAGAAAAGGCAGTAGATATGGATCTATAGCTGGCAAAAGAAGGTGGGTCAAGGCCAGGTTTCTTCAAAATATCTGTAACAGTTGCAATTTTGAGGGCAGAGGGAACAGTAACAAAAGACAGATATGTCAGTTGAGCAATTGAAGTAGACATGGTATACACAAAGGCCTAGAGGGCCGCAGGGACTAGCTGACAAGATGAAGATCTAGACTTAGTAATGAGTTCAGCGACAGAAGTAGATTCTGTGCTGATGTAACTAGTGTACTTACAAAGAGGAGTTACAGGACAGGATTCTAGTGAGGAGGATTATTGAGGAGCAGAGGGAAAATGTCTACAAATGTTTCTGACTTTTTCACTGAAAAACACGTAAGAAAGCTTTTTATTGCTCAGTAGTACTAGGAATACATAACCAAGGGGGTTTTGGGGAGTTTGGTCCAAAATAGTGTTCTAGAACTTCTACTATTAACAATAGAAGAGCAGTAGGTAGCACAAGCAGCATTAAGGGCATCATTATACTTAAACTTGTGATGACTATAAAGTTGTGCATGGACAGTGTTTTCCTATGTAGGCGTTCAAGATGCCAGCCAGTGATTTTCATTACTCTTAAGTTTAGGAGTGTACCACAAGGAAGAATGCATTGCTGGAGCTAACCTAGTTTTATAAGAGGGCATAATTGTTGAAAATGTTAGAAACAACATCATTATATTGTGAGACCATGACATCAGAACAAGAGAGCATAGAAAAAGCAGAAAGAGGTGAAGAGAGAGAGAGAGAGAGAAAGAATGTATCATAGTAAGTGACAGTCTTTTTTCACAGAGACTTGGACATAGGAATACTGAGGCTACATTCAATTAGTCTGTGATCAGAAATACCAGTAACAGAACTAGAAACAGTATCAATCTTGAGGCCTGTAGAGCACAACAAGTTCAGTGGATGACCCTCAATATCCATAGAAAATCTACGTTTCGTGAGGTTGAAACCATCCAACACAGATATGCATTCAAGTAGAAAAAGAGCAGCTTGTGTCAACATGCTTACATGTTGTGTCAAGTTACCAAGTCACCAAATTATAGCAGAGCACAGAGACAAATCTGAGACAAAAAAAAAAATTGAGTGGCTTTGGGTGGGTTTTGCTAACAGCAAGAATACAGAGGTTGAACAGAAGACAGTTAACGGCAAGTACTCAAAAGATATCGTGATATTGTGGAAGACAGTTTCATTCACTTTCAGACTATCATGATCAACAACAGCCTGTCAGCCCCCTTTTCCTTTTATGCAATGTTTGGACAATTGTACCCAGGACAGTCAGTAGGTTTAAATGTAAATAGTCTCCCAGCTGTTGCCAGGTTTCAGTCAGCAGGAGCAAATTTTCTCTGAGTGATCAGGTCATCGATAAGCCTAACAAACAACTTGTTAGTTATGCAGCAAGGGTTCGGAAGCGCTAGCTGTGTGTGTGATGCAAAACAGCAGTATATCCATAAACAGCTTATTTACATAAAGGCTGAAGAAAGCTGTGGTTCGTTTCCAGAGTGGAATTGTCATTGCTCTAGGTACTCCAATGACTAGTGCAAACAGTGTCTCTCAGTTGACTTTCCAATTTATTTGGGTGTTCAGAGGGGTTGAGGTCAGGGCTCTGAAGCTAAGCATTTATTGATCTAAATTCAAAGGCAGAAATCCAAGAACAGTTGACAGCTGCTGAAAAGCCACGTACCAAACCAAGCCATGTTAACTAAACACCAATTTACCACACCTACCAGGCAGATTAAGTGCATGGAAGCAGCTAATAAACTGATGATTACAACTTAGCAAAAGAGGAAAAGCTCACCCACTACAGATGCAATCAAAATCAGTATAGGAAGATATGAGAAATGTATGTTTCTTGCTTTTTTCTGACACTGAAAAATTAATAACTTGTACTTACTGGCTGTTTTGACTGGAAATGAAGTAAACAAATGGTTGGTCTCTGATTTTTACACAGTACCATGTTTCCAGATTCACATTATGTCATGCATTTCAGTCATTTCATTCATGGAACTCAGCAACTACCCTTTGGATTATATTATAAATAGATTCAACAGGTTTTCAATAGGGACATTTGTCAAAATTATTGTCCATTGTACTCAGATAGAGGTTAGGTGGAGAAATGCTTGAGTATTCCATTAAAGCTCATGTTAAACACTTTCAGATACTGTCTGGGAGAGGATGAACACAATAATGTCGTCCACACAGTTTACCTCACAGTTTTCTCAAGAATCGCTCCATGAAACCTTTGAGACCATGGAGAGTTGTAGCATGGCCACTGTTTAAAGAAGCCTTTCCTGAAAATCTATGACATGTTAAAGCACATAAGTTTTAGCCTCAAGTCAAAGTGCAGATGCCGTTATTCAGCCTGAGATCCAACTGGCAAGGTCCTTTTCTAATTTGACACCTAAGACTGCCATATTTAGAAGATAGCATTAGGTTTCTAACTACCTCAGGAGTGAAGCGGTGGAATTACTTTTATCAGTGACAGGAGAGAAGATATGAGGTACATTTTATCTTTTGGTTTAGCATGCTGCTGAGATTCATGGCCAAAGCTTATTATTCAAGCTCCATCCACCAAGAAAAGCATTTAAAATATAACTGCCGTACAGATGGTCTTTATATGTAAACAGTTACAGATTGTAGCCTGCATGATTTATCAGCCCTTTATACCTTGTCCATTAATGGAAAGGGACCACCTTAGGACCACCACTGATCAGGTATTATTTGAGTGATGCACTATTCTCAGCACAGCAGTGACGCTGACATGTAGTATGTATACTGACCTTACATTGACATGTATGTTCAAGTGACCAAATCATAACTAGGCACCTCACGATTCGATTCGATTACGATTCAGAGGGCTGCGATGCGATTATAAAACGATTATCGATGCATCTTTTTTCTCTATACAGGATTTCTATCTTCCTACTGTCTGAGGACTTGGTAGTTTTAAAGCAAAGTATTTGTAATAATCCATAATGTAAATGCATTTTATGCGGTATTTTCGAGACTGGACGCTGAATCTCGGCTCCAAAGTGTGCAGCATAGCGCGGCAGCCCTGGTTCTCAACGACCGAGAACAGACAGTAGATCACCTAGCACCGAGGTCTGGCCTCGCCAGTAGCGAACAAAAAACAGAGATTAAGATGAACATATGGAGGACTTATTCGCATTTATAAGCAGCGCGGTTGGTTAAATCTGCAACGAGAGTTAAAAAAAAGTTGCGAAAATGAAGTCGCTTCTCTTTCGAATTTTCCCGTTCCACTTTAAATAGTGCAGCAGTTACATTTGGCGCCTAAGGCAGAATTTAAGGTGAAACGGGAAAATTAGAACGAGAAGCTGGCGAATGAGAAGCGACTTCAGCCTCATAAAACAGCCGGATGCTGAGACATTTTACAAGAAACTCTTCTAGTTTTGAAGAAAAGTTTTCTGGCGGAGATGGGAGGAAAGCGGCTATAGCTGAAGCTTAAAGCAGAGCAAAGTAAATCTGCGCTGTCGTTTACATTTTTAGCCCATACTACGACATTAACACATACTGGACATTAAATGTTGTGGCTCCCAAGGTGGTTTGACTTTGTTGAAAGGCAAAATGTCTTTTCTTATCATTTGTGCTGTGACTCCTGATCTAACCTGGCTTTAATGCAGAGGGAGCCGGTCGGATTTCTCACTCATCCAGTTGTGTTTTTGTTATGTGCCGCCACAGACTGTCGCTGCACTTCCGCACTTCCAGTTCCGCCTTTTGAGTTCCGTCAACATTACATTATAAATGAAATATTTAGAAAAACGATTTTTGACATTTGTGAATCGGTCGTTCACGTCCGCATCGCGATGCATCTAAGAATTGAGTTTTTCCCGCACCCCTAGTGCAAAGCGTAGACTATGCAAATTCACAAAGCAAGGCCATGAAGTGCTGAAGCACATAACACATAAAAATCACCTATCCACTATCTGGCAGTCTGATGGATGAACCAATGCATAGTCCCAACAGTTAAGTTTGGTGGAGGAGGGATAATGGTCTGCGGCTGTTTTTCAGGGTTTAGTTAGAAGGATAATGTTAATGCTACTGCATAAAAGGGTATTTTAGGCGAGTATGTGCATACAATTTTGTGGCAACAGGGGAAGGCCCTTTTTTCCAGCAAGACTGTGCCCCTGTGCACAAAGCAAAGTACAAAAAGACGTGATGTTTGTTGTTGAGGAACTATAGTGGCCTGCACAGAGCCCTGACCTCCACCCCTGGAATGTTGCTTGAGAGCCACGCCTTCTTGTCCAAAATCAGTGCCTGAGCTCACAAAATTTGTACTGAATGGGCACAAATTCCCACAGGCACACTCTTCTGGGAGGGCTTTCCACAAGAGTGGAGGCTGTCTTAGCTGCAAAGCTGGGGGAGGCTGACGGCTCCATATTATTGCCCATGATTTTGGAATGGGATGTCCAACAAGCACATATAGGTGTGATGGTCAGGTGTCCACTTAATTTTGACCATAGAGTGTAGGTCACCTCATTTTCTGGCAGGATTAATAGTGAACTAAGACCACAAGTCAAATTCTGTATGAGTGCATCAGGCAGAGCAGCATTTCTGAAAATTTGAGCAATGATATAGGTAAGTAGTGTGATGATATAGTGCTGTAGGCAGCTTATGGGTTGGTTTGCTTTTGGTTTTGGTTTTAACAAGTGAAAGTGTAAGCCATAAAGTTTCATTCTTTCTGTAAACTCTGGTACTTTTTCTGCTTCTTCATTCTCTGGTTGATTCAGGACTCTCCTCCTGGCAGTCCCCAGAATGGAAAGCTGTTAGAAATGTCTGGTAGGAGGAACATGAGAAGGTGGTGCAGTAAAATTCTTTACAGTATAACATTTTTTTTGCATGGGGTTTGGAGCAGTGCAGGATGGCTGCCGGCTTCTCTCTAACGTTTTACCTTGTCTTTTGAAAGAACCAGGAGATATCTGATCCTTTTACTCCACTAGAGGGCAGTGTAGATCCTGTGTCTTAGAGCTTGTTATCTATTTAGTGTAAAGAGGGAGCATAGAAAAACTACTCCAGCCTGCTAAAGGCTACCACATACTGGGCAAGGAGCTCAGCGCCACACCGCCAGAGGTACAAAGTGTACAAAGTGCAGCTATAGCAAGTAGGAAGCAGTGTAAATGCAACAAGCTCAAGCTCATTTTTATCATCTAAACATTTCACGGAATTGAACTTTCAGCATATTTTAGTGAATTTGTTGTGTTTTGTGTCAACTGACAGCCAAGGTGAAATATGATGTGACTAGGCTTGTAACATGATGTTATGTGAAGGAAGACGATTAGCGTTTGTTTATCTGAAGACTTTAGATGGACACCTTGCTCAAGGTAAACTTCAAGCTCTATGTCCCTTACTATGGATTTATGGTCTGGGTTTAATATCCTACAGTAATGCTGTACTGTAGAATGTGTCACTGTCTCTGGTGTTGTCCCCCTGATGTGTTAAGAGTCCTTAAGAGTCCTCTGCTCCTTTTTTGGAGGGGTTGGGCTATTATTCTCATATTTTTTTCTAATAATGCCAAATTCAGATAGCAAATTTGGCTGAAATGCCTATCCCTATTAAATTCTTGGGAATGGTGTATCAGACACCAAGGGGTGGAGATTGTGAGAAAAGTCTCTTACTTTCAATACAGTGACGCCACATGGCATGAATAAAGATTTGTCCTTAGCTTATTTTCTCACTTTTTAAATTATTAGAATCTTATGTAAATGTTTGACTGAATATTTTTGACATTTATATTGTAGATGGTTGGTTTTTCCTGATTGGTCTCATTGGTAATTGTGACTCACATCAGTGACATAACAAGTGGGTGTGTTTATGTAATTAGTGATACTGTTTCGTGGCTTGGTGGCATTAATGTCATTAGCACACTGAGGAAGACAGTGTGCTAAAACTGTGCCTTTGTCTGTGAGACTAATAAGTACTAGCAAGTTTATTAGTGCTGCTGGTATGGAAACATATTGCTATAGGCTTGGTTTCCAAATTTCGTACATAATTAAACATTTAAGACACCATTTTACTTTGCTTGGCTGCAGAATGTCCTCAGGATTATTGTCATCATTGACTGACCATAATGTCAGAATACTTGCTCTGAAAATTTTTCCAGGGTATAAAACCAAGGAAGTAAAGTTATAGTACAAATGAGACCAGACTGCCTGGTCATTATACACACAGGGCCGTAGTCCTGTAGGGGGCAGTGTGGACTGTGGAGAATGTGGCAATGCTTTCTGTATTTGAGCACACACAAGGGTTAGCTTTATATAGGAAATACTGTTCAATTTGAGCTTTTGTTTCTTGCTTGTAGGAAAGTCACCAAGGAGAACCTAGTACAGACATCCAGTGAAATCACCGAGAGTTTGATGAGCATAAGCCGCATGATGGCCCAACAGGTAAAGCAGAGTGAGGAGACCATTGGCACTCTGGGTAAGAGTCATTCCATTTCAAATCACAGATTTCAAGCCACAAATTTGAGCTTGTTATTCTGTAACTACAGTGAATTACATAGATTCCGATCTCAAATGAACATACTGGTATGTAGGATATGTAGTTATGAGAGCGGGGCCTAAGGTTTAAGAGGCTAGTAGAAACATTTCAAAACAAATTCTACAGGTTTTGTTTATTTTGGATTTTCTGACCAAGACCACTCGAACTAACTTTATATCTTTTTAAGCAGTTTCTCCCAGATCTGTGACCTTTATTTATTTAATCCTTTAATGTCACATATGGAATCAAATCTCAAATGGATGTCAAAAGAGAACTCTCACAGCTATACAGTGGAAAAATGCAAAACACTGATACCTATTCATAGGCAAATGACTAGCTCATATAAACCTGATTAAATATAGTACATCTTGTTCACTCTATTTATAGCTACCTCGTCAAGGACAGTACTGGAAACAAATGAAGAGTTTAAGGCGATGACGTCGACTGTCCACTTGGGGAGAAAACTCATCCTGAAATACAACCGTCGTGAACTGACAGACAAACTGCTGATCTTCCTAGCGCTGGCTCTGTTTTTCGCCACAGTCCTCTACATCCTGAAAAAGAGGCTCTTTCCTTTCATTTAGAGGTAAATGGAGCTGTCTATTTCCTGCCACATTCAAATTCTTCCTAAATTGGCTGTATAGCTCTGCAGACAGAGTTGGCATGGACTTTCACATGACCTGGGATTTTTTTTTTTCCCACTCCAAAACTGAATCCGGAACCAGGGAGGAAGGAGTATTTGTATGTATCTGGGACATGTGCTAGTGACACCGTTAGTATGGGCTTTCAGCTGCAACTGCAGAAGCAGCCAATAGCAGTGTGAGGTCGACCTCATGCCTGACATCTTAAGCATTTCCTGTGCTGCATTGATGGTGTCAGCTGTAAGTTGTGCTGTCATTTGTATTTAATAGGCAATATGACACTCATGAATTATATTTAGTACTTCTGCTGGATGGTGTCATGAGTTTTCTAATTCTAAATATAAATGTTATAAATAACATTAAACATTAACGGTATTAAATGTTAAACGTTATAAACATTATAAATATGAAAATTGATGAGTATGGGGTAAGGCTGCATAATATGGTGACAATATGAAAATACTTGAGTGCAATTATATTGCTACATAATGCAACTGAACATATTATAAACACATCTGTGAATCAATAATGGTACATGAATGAAGATTTTCCTGCATTATTTCCATCAGAATATTGACTTTTGTTGGATTACATGACTATCTTGATTGATCACCCACAGAAACACTCTGGAACAACTGTGACTTGGTCAAGATACTCGTAATGCATAACATTGTGATTCATTGTAGGTCTCATTTGTGTATTGTAGCCTTCCACATTTGCATACTGCAGCCTGCACAAGGGTTATATTTGCATAAAGATTTACAAATGATCATAGTATTGTGCAGCCCTAGTATGAGTTGTAGACTATTTAGAAGGGTTGATTCGTATTAGGGCATTATTGAAGCATTGACAATTTGCTGTGTAACCCAGTACAAACTGTTTTTTCACTTTTTGTGATCATGATTGGTACCTCAGAAGAACAGTAGTGAGTGTACTTATCCCAGGATATCCATATGTGGTTTAATGTGAAGATATTTCTAGATCAGGGTGTCAAACTTGGCTTGTTTGTAGCCACAGCTCTGTAGAATTTAGTGGTCCTCATTAAACAGACCTAATTAGCAAGACCTTCATGAGTTGAATGTCTGAAGAGGGAAAACGCTGAGCTCTACAGAACTGTTGCCAGGAAGGAACCCAGTCTGACCCCCCTGCTCTGGATACAATTCTTGATAAAGCCCAAAGCTTCTTGTTTGTGTGCCTTTGAACTCCAGTACTTAAGTGCTCTCTCTTGCGCCACACAAGCAACTCTGTGTGAACTGTGTATGTTTGTCTCTTCTTCCAAACAGAAGACAAGATCTTACAGCCTTGTGAAACCAAGGTACAAGAGTTTGCTTGAAATTTACTTGACACATCAGTTGTTGACCTTTAGACTGTTTACAGTGTTCATTTTGTTCATTGAGTAATGTACCTAACTTTGAAAGGGAATGGGTTGCACTATACCCAGTAGTTCTCTTAATACTAGGTGTGAAATCAGCTCCAGTGCCAATGTTAGCTGTGCTGCTAGCCTTTCTATGTTCTACAGGGTGATACCACTGGGTGGTGCAGTAGCACTTCTTTTCCTTTTAACCCTTTTGTTTCTTTGACCCAGCAGACAGCATCTTAATACAACTGGTCAGCAAAGGCCGCGTTTGCTCAGGAATTACTGCCTGCTCAAGATGTGATTGTGACTGTCTTGTTTGAGTTCAGAACCTTTCCAAACTGTGTTAACACTTTAAATATATCTATTAGCATGTTTATTTGTTCCTGTGTTCCTTAAGGGAAAGACTGTTTTCTTGTGTTTGGTTATAGTATTCATTGGCTTCACTGTGATACAGAGCTGCAATGCGCTCGTATTGGCCTAGTACTGGCTAACAGTAGGGATGTCAGCCAGTACACTCCTTTTGAACTGCCTTATTTTACATTGTGATGTAATTTTGAATTCCTGTTGACTATCAAATAAAGAAAGAACTTTTAAAAGTTGCTTTAGTATTATGTCATGAAGTGATCACTTGGTGATTATCAGTTTTCTAGATGCAAATAAATTGTAGTCTTCAACTTAATTATGTTTTCAGTGGGAATTTTGTTTTTTTACTTGAGGGCTAAACTTTGCCTTTGGCAAATCTAAATCAATAATAAATAATCAGGACAGGGCTGGAATAATATAAACAATAAATAAACAAGGCAAGAATGATAGGGAAACTTGAATGCTCAGTAGTATTTGTAAAAAGAAAAATCAGCCTCCTCGTGTTTGCCTTCACAAAATGTCCTGTACGTCTTTGAAAATATAATTTATTATGTGGAAAAAAAAACAGTTTTAGATGAATACAGCATATTACTGTGAAGACACCCACAATTAATGAAAAAAAAACTTAAGTATTTGATAAAAAAAATACAAAAAATGTATAAATAAAAAATTATTTATATAAAATAAATTTAATAGCACAATAATAGACTGTGTTGTACCTGACCTTTACACATGAGGTACAATCCAAAAAGATCATGCATAACATAAAAAAAATAGAAATAAATTAAAAAATGGTACATAAACAAAGGGCAGTAGGCCTCTGTACATTTGGTAATAATGTAGGGACAAATACATTAACATGCCTTTCACACAATATATTATACAGTATGTTAATATAGGTGCATGTCACATGGATGAGGTAGGTCCCAAGTAATACTGTACCTTAAACTGTCTTTCTGGCCTAAAATGAAGCTTCTTTTCTTTTCAATCCAGATATGGTCATTCTATATAGGGATACATGAACTATGTATAGAGTAGTCCACATGTTTTTCAGTATACATATATATGATAGACACAACAAATATAAGTCTGATTTGGGTGGAATTCCCTTTAAAGACATTACTTAAAAAGTAAAATAAACACTTAATAGATTTTTAAACCCTGATATTTGCATTGGTATTCTGAATATACCTTTTCAGCAATCTTGTGTAAGGTGACTTTGCTCCTTCTTTGTATTTAAAGCCGCGCAGTGATTTTAAAACCTTTCTGTTTCAACCAACTTTACAGTATGCATCCATTCATAGATGTTTTCCTGTTTAATGACTCACAAACATTTTCAGAGGCCCAGTCAAAAGAATTCTGATTCAGTTGTATACAGTGGTAGTGTAAAAAAAAAGCCCATTAGAGCTTCAAAAGAGGAGGTCACTGGATGTCTTGCCTCAGTTTTTATAACAAAACAGATACGGAGTCCCCACTTTATTTCCATAAAATCACTTGTGAATGCACCTTTAAATTGATGTACCAAGTCACACTGTGACATAGACAACATTGCAACAGCATTTAGCGCATGAAAGAGAGACAGGTTTGTTTAGAAACAAAATATGGAACCGAGCAAGAACAAACTGCTCCTGAGAAACAGCAACATGACGTTTTATTCACTACCATGACTTACTGAGAACTGTGTTAGCTGTGTGTACTGCGTTGAAGTGAATCAAAGGCGTGTCACTAGTGTTATCTGGCCGTAAGAGTACGCCACCGACGGCAGGGAGGTGCATTTTCATGCAGGTTTGCGATATTTTGTCTTCATGAAAGCATGGAAAGCTCTGATTTTGTTTTAAATGCAATAGGAACCCTACTGCCCTGGGCTGTCATTATGCTAATGTTTTGAGATGCAGATTATGCAATCTCAGGAATTCAGCCTGTGCTTACCATGGTACTACAGTACTCTCAAAGAAAGGACTCCCCGTAGATGTTTTTGTGCCATAAAACTCCCTAATAGTTTTGAAAAGACTGGTACACCTGGATTTGCTGGAGGTCTTGGCTCATTGCATCTTTTGTCACACTTGTATGTCTTTGAGGCTGCAAGGAAAGTAGTCGTTGTGTAATAACTAAGGCTATGTCCACATTACAGTCTTTGTTACCCAATTCCGATTTTTTGCTCAGATCCGATCTTTCTAAAGGTGAAAAAGGAATCAGATGCATTGCTTTTGTACAGTTTACTACCACTAACCTTAGGTTTGGCGCTGCATGAACACATGAATTCTGCTCTGAGCATTCTCATTAGGGTCACAAGGCCACGAATCAGGTATATATCCAATCTAGGACCACATATGGAAGTGGCTCAGATCTGATGTGAAAAGATCACATTTGTGTGTCCACACAGCTCTGAAAAAATCAGATCTATGTTACATTAAGGCAAAAAATCTGATTTGTTCCACTTCAGCAAAGTAATGTGAACGTAGCCTAGCAGACAAGCTTACTTTCTGTACACACAAATTTCAGAACCAGTGAGTTTCCTCTGCCTTTCACCTTCTTCGAGTGGCGTTTAAAGACTTCCTAAGCGGTGTGGTCTCAGACTGTGTGCTGTTGTCCTGAGACCGAGGCCCTGAAGGTTGAAGGTGGCCTTCATCTTTATCTCCATCCCCATGAGTCCGAACCTGCTCCACATCTGCCTCTGAGCGTGGTCGGCTAGCAGGGGGCAAGGTGTTGGCACTGCCCCCGTGTGGGGTGGTGAAGACGGGGGCAAGGGTGGACACACCCTGCCGCTCTGCGTGGCCCAGAGGACAGAGGCTCAGGCTGGCACACAGAGCACCCCAGTTCTGCTCGCACTGATCACGGATCCGTTGGGCAATGGCTGCACGCACCTCCTCTCCGCAGCCCAGGAGGATGTTCACCAGCTCCACATGAGGCCTGGTGGCAGAGAGAAATTGGGACTGTTACTTCATTTAATGACATACTGTGGTATAAATAAGCAACAGAACACGAGAGGGAGTGTGTTATCGCGGCTGTGAGCTACGGCACTCGCCTTCGGCTTGTAATGTTATTCGTGATAACACAGGACCTTACGCTTCTATTGCTTTTATACAGCTAGTTATGTATAATAAAATAAAAAGCGAAGGATGAAGGCCCCAAATATTAGCAAAATGTGATTTAGTATTGGCAGTTCCTTCCGCCACAAAAAGTAGCATCCCAGTCCATTACAAATAGTGCTGTAAAGTTGGTTGTAAATTGCTGGATTTGCAATTCCACGATTTTTTATGAAATAAACATCCAACATGTCCAAATATTTATTATCTAGTCATCTAATGTATTAATTTTCTGTATCTGTATGCTGTAAAGTACGAAGAAACACACTAACAGATAGCTGTACAGCAGTCGTTACTTAGCAACAGGTGTTCAGCAGGATGAAAAAAAAACATGCTGTTGTCACTAAAAACAGCACAGCTAGAACTCTTCTCAACAAATCAGATTGTCCAATCAGAACTAACTGTCATATAAAACCAATGATGTTTATATTGTTTCAGATTTTAATAATCCTGATAACCATGTACAGTTACAATGTTTTAGAAAAACAGCCTGGAATAGCCTACTGCTATAGTTTCCCTGCAAACAGTGCTTCAGGACAACATATTTATATAGTTACAATTTATAACTAAATAGTTACAAAACATTTATAAAGTTACAAATACTACAATAATAACAAAAATAGTGATCATCAGAAAAATCTTAAGACCTTAATACATATAATACATACAAATAATTTAAGTAAAAAGTAATGAGAATGTTTTGTATTGTGTTTGAAGTTATTCATATCTTACTTAAAATATAGTTAGAAAAACAGATTTGTTTGCTGGCTTTTCTGTAAACTCCTGCCATTGTATGGATTTGTTAAATTCCATCAGCAGCACTTGATTTAATTTAATGAAGGACTGATAAACTGAAGCAGAGATTAGGTTGTAACTGTAAATACTGAGCTTCCTCAAGGAAAGCTTTGGAAATGGTTAAACCAGCACACTGAAACACTTCAAACTGCAGTGTGTTATTTATTTGTTTTTCTTTTAATGTTAGTGTTAGTGCACTGTGAAGCCCAATGTTGCAATTCATTAATTGGACTCACTAAAGAAAACCTAAAATATTCAACAGTTATACTAAAGTAAAGGTATGGAGTGTGTTCAACAACTTCTTCTTTAATGTGAAACTGCTAACGTTTGATTTAGTAGAGCCCTATTTGCAGTTCCAAGTAAAAGGGCTATCCCTGATGAATTTACTCTCCCTTGAGTGACATAAGTTTGAACAGTATTATGTCTGATGTTATATCAGCTGCAAGGTGAAGCCTTCTTAACGGGTTTGTTGGTTTCTGTTAATAAACTGTTTACTTATTTTATCAGTTACCTCCAACAACAGTTATTTTTGAGCTGTAACATGTTATAGTATATGGTATTCATATATTTATTCAACCATGATGGTGTTTTTGGTCAAGTTTACCTGTACTGCAAATAGGAAGACAAACATTTGGTTGTAGCCAATATATGATTGGCTTTTGATTAGAGTGGCACAACTACACACAAAACCAGTGGAATCCCCTGAAACTCCTGATTTTTAAGCCAATTATTCGTTATTCATTTTTCAGCACAGAAGTTAATATAGCTTAATTGTTTTGAATAAGCAGTTGTGAGCCCATTCATGGCATATATCTTTTAAGTCAGTGGTACTCTGTGCATTTAAAGCCATGGTCACACCAAACGCGAGTAAAATTTGCCAAGCGAAAAAGCCAATTCACTTAAATGGGAAAGGAACACAAAAAGGAATTTTCTTCTGGTAGCGGTTCATTTCGTTTTGCGTTAAGTTCATGTAGATGATCTTTAACCTTGCGATTTTACAAACCTTGGAAGCATGATCCAGTAAAAAACAGAAAGGGGCCAGCTATGGTATCTACATTCTGAAAAAAAAACTAGTTAACTAGTAATGTTAGCCATTCCCTACACTATACATTACCTGCAAAACCACATCACATCAGGACGGCCCATATTTGTCTGATCTTGCTCCACCTCAGTGAAAGAAATGGTGAGGTGATGATCAAGCAATCAGTTGCTACAAATAAGTATTTTGTGTAATTGTGAGTTGTATTGCTTTAAAGGTTTAATTACATGTTAATGACTTAATGACAATGACTTAAGGATGGAATTTTGAGTTGGATCAATTGGGTCTAACCCAATTTGTTCTATATCAAACTTGTTTTGATTTTATGAACTTGTCTTAATTATTTTGAATTCTGCTAACTTATGCAGGTTCACAGGACAGGATTTTGATTGGGATTGTATTGCATAAAGAACAGCAAAAGGGTGTTGCTTGGTAAACCACAGTATTAATATATCAGCACACATGAATAAAGCTTTTAGAGCTTCCCAATAGGTTGAAAGCTTTGAATCCTGCATCATGGCTGTCATACTCCAGCTTTGGAGAGGAAAAGACATGCTGAGTCAGAGCACAAACAGTACTTAATTCTGCAGGACTGTGGCATGTTTTTTTTTCACTTAGGTTTAATAGACTACCTACCCTTTGGGGAACAGGTCTTGAAAGTGGATCATCTCCACCATGACGTTCACATTCTCCCTGACCGCTGAGCAGAGGTTGTGTTTGACGTAGCACTCGCGCTGAAGCTGAAACACCATCTCCTTCACGGCCAGGCACTTGCGGCTCACACAGCTGAACTTGTGGCGCAGCCCATGGGCCATGCACTTCAGCGCGTCCTTGATGAATGATTTCCCCTGTGGCGTTGCATAAGTCATTCATCAACCACATACATGCTGAAACAGTGACATTTGCAACTCTGGGACATCTGATCTAACGGTTATGTGGGTCTACCCCAGATTCATAATTATCTGGAGCTGCTGTTCCTAACTAGTGGGATAAGAGTGATTTATTGTGCTGTTTATTTTTAGAGGTGCATAAGGCAGCTTACACTATACTCAGGTAAAAGTGTTGTTACTTTAATGGAATGACTGCAGAAACGCAGAAGTACGACTAACTACTACAAAAGATAAATATCCGGTTGAAATAACTCTTCAGCTAGGCTAGTGAGTTCTCTGTAGACCGGCACTGAAACTTCTCAGTACATTCAGCATCTATGCACATAGGAATTCATCACTTTTGGGATCCTTTTGGTTTAAAGCTCCAAAGTGAGAGAAGTGAACAACAATAAAGCAGCCCAAATCCTGTCACTAACACAACAGAATGTAATTAAACACAAAAAAGGAATTAGAAGCTAAATGTGAATGACTAAAATGGAGCTATAAAAGGAAACATACATTCAATGTAGATAAATATAGGCCTTCTTGTGTAGCACCTTCATCAACTAAAAATACCCAGATAGGTACAGACTAGACAGATTTGTTTTAGTTAAGTGTACAGTGGCTCCAAAAAGTATCTGGACACTAACCATTTAACAATCAATAAACTTTAATGACGTTCTTTAGTTTACTACATAAAATCTGTTTCAGAGAAAAACACATTTCTATTAAACTAATGGCAGAATCTTTGTGTGGAGAAAGCCCTGAGAGGAATTCCAACCAGACTGCATTAATGGTACCGTGAAGCACGGAGGAGCAAACCTCAAAGTTTGGGGCCATTTTTCTCACAATGTGTCAGTGAGCTTGTGTTCATTGGTGGGATCATGATTTCAGAAGTGTACAAAGGCATTTTGGAATCAAACTTGTGTGAGTCTGCAAAGGAATTGCTCAAACAAGAAAGACCTAAAAAAAAACAGCCACTATTTTAAAGAATATTCTGCTGAAAAGAAAATGACAGGGAAAATATAAAGAATAATCCTTTTAAAATAAATACCACTTTTGTTAAAGCTACCCTATGTACGTTTTCAGGGATTTGGAGACCTCTCTGGTGGATATGTGTAATAGCATGCAATGTGCAGAAGAATATTTTGTAACGTGGCTTGTGCTTTGGATACTTTCTCTGATTGCAAGTGTATTGTGAGAGTACGCAAAGCAAACTCAGTCAAACCTTGGTAAATGACATGTAAGTAGATGTAAGTGAATTATCTTCTATCATCATATTGTCATCATTGGTGCAACATTGATTTTGCATTTGAAACCCAATTATTGAACCAGATCGACTGTTACGTTAATAAACAAAAATGTACGACGTGGTCAAAAAAAACCAAGAACTCCAACCTGACAACTCTGACTTTTAAATAACTAATTCAGGCTTTACAAGGTGACATGCAGCAACGCACACCATATTTTAGCTTGTTTTCTTTTCCGCTAATGCTACTTCTATTAATCTTAACAAAAAATCTTACATAGTGCAGCTTTATCTGACACAATGGACGTATTACATTTTTAAATACAGCACAAATGTCCATGTACTTTTTGGGGCCACTGCATATGAGACACGGTAAATAATGTGTAACACAAACGTTGATTGTAAAACGCATCACCGCCGTTGTTAGTTACAGCGCTGATGAGCGCGCACAGTTACCTGAGAGTCGAATTTGCCCGCGTGGTGCAGGAACGTCATGCAGATCTCGTGCAGCCCGCGGATCTCGCAGGAGTTGTTGTTGAAGCACTCGAACATCCCGCAGCCCACATCACCGGCATTCACCAGGCAGTGCTGGATCTCCGCTGAAACGAGAGGGGGAGGCTTTGGTTCACAAACGGAACGCGTGAGCTGCATTTTACAGCTAATTAAGAAAAAACACTATTATGATAGTCGTTCTCCGTCAGCCGGGCCTGCTTAGCGCCTAAAAGTTGTGCCTCGCGCGTTAGCCAACAGGCTATCAGATCACCTCAGAGAGGCGTTAGTAAGCAGTATTGCGAAGAAACCGTGGGTTAATATGTTCAGAATTAACTTCAACGTTTGCGAAATTATTTTAAGAGACGTGTTTCTGTGAAACACAAAGGGCGGGACTGCTAAACAACATTCAAGTTTCCAGGCAAAATATAAATGTCGCTTCTCTGAACGAGTAAATAAACTGATAGTGGTTGGATGTAAAAAGCTCAGTTCTAGAGAAACTTACAGAATTGTTCACAGTGGTGGTTCACAGGAACATCTGAGGAGCTTAATGCCTCTAAAAAGCTACCTTACAGAAAGCTAGACTATAACATGAACAGTTACGGTGCCTGATGCCAGAGACATTGTTTTATGATGCTTTTGAGACTGAGTTTTGCCCTAAAAGATTTTTTTTTCAAATTCCATTCATGATTGAGAGATATATGCAGGGTGTGGTAAAACAATACCCACAAACACTTTTTTTTTTCCAGATTTACCACTATTTTACCATTAATGACATTACAGCCTATAAAAACTCAGAAGACACGTGTGTGTTCGCTGGCGCCTTCGGATAGTAAATAAAATGGCTATTAGCGCTGCAGACATCACAGTCCGGCTTCCTATCACCACCACTGTAAAGAAATATAAGTCGATAACTTTCTCTTCGGTGCAACATTTTACACCAAACCACTCTGAATGACCCTGTTTACGTCTCAATTATTGAGTTATACATAAATAGGGGGTGAAAGCCCGCTGGCTCTTAGACACGCTAAGAGATACAAGCAGCGAACAAATGTACCTGTTAGACTCGCCAAGAGTTTAAAATACAGGAGTTTTCATTTACCTGTGTTCTGCAGGGACAGGCGTCTTTTCTGGACGTTAAGCAGCCTCTCCTGCGATGTCTCATGAACGTCTCCCGTTGACTCCGTTGCGTCTCCGTGCTGCGTTACGGTCAACAAGAGCAACACTCCTATGGTCAGTTTCACACACATGTCTCGTCGCGATAAAACACACACACCCGCACGCTCAAATAACGCAGTGTAAACCAGAGAGCTGCTCGCCTCCGGATTCGTGTAGCATAACCGCGGAGGAGCAGCGGCGGCGGAGAGCCGGGGAGGACGGATGCTCTGCTCGGTTATATTTCCCAAACCGCGCGTGTCACTTTTGATGAAGGAGGCGAGCAGGTGCTGTCACTCGCGCCCGTTCCGCCAATCAGAGGGCGCCAAGAGCGCGCGGCCGAGGTCGATGTAGCGCGCGCCCGTCCAAAGTCGATATATAGGGCTGCATGAGAAACAAGTTTACATCAGAGTTTACGAAAAAGGGCGTAGGCAGAGACGCAGAGTATTGCGTCCAAGCTCTTATAGAAAGCTCACATACATTTCACGTTTGATCACACACTCTCTGTCCACCTTGTATTTACACTCACTGTCCATTTTATTAGGTCCACTTACCATATAGGTGCACTTTGTAGTTCTTCAGTGACAGATTGTTCATCATTGGTCAGGACCCCCACAGAGCAGGTATTATTTGGGTGGTGGATCATTTCTTGGCACTGCAGTGACACTGACATGGTAATGTTAGCGGGTGTGGATCAGACACAGCAGCATTACAGGAATTTGTCAACACTGTTTAGACTTATTGTCCACTCTGTTAGACACATTGTAGATCTAAAGTTAGAGACTACGGCATTTCTGTTGCAGTTTCTGTCCACAGGGTGCTGGTGGCTGAATATTTTAGTTGGTGGTCTGTTCTCAGCCCAGAGTTGTTTAAAAACTTCAGCGACACCGCTGTGCGTGATCCTCTCTGTGCAACACATTACTAGGGCCGAAAATTGGTCGGTCCCAGACTGAGAGTTAGTTGTGTTTATGTTGTGTACACAGTATATGTGTGTTTGGTTACTTCTGGTAGGGCTAACTTATCTACAGGTAGTTCAAGAGCTCTCTGTTATCATGTTAAATTTCTCCTTGTTAAGACAATCTTGATGATAATGTAGGCTATAATTAGAATTGCAGCTCTCATATTGTGATTCCGAGGTAAAAACTATTAATGTTTCAGCCCTACAATCTGTAATCGTAGATCTATAAAGTGCACCTATATGGTAAGCAGACCTGATACAATGGACAATGAACACAGATACAAGGTACCTAATAAAGTGGCCAGTGAGTGTTTATGAAGTGCCTACAAAATACGCGATGTCAAGTGTTTACAAATACGCATGACATCATGTCAATAATATGTGATTATACATGCCAAAACGTTATACCTTGACATTGCATCTGATCACTTCAGGTATTATGTGAAAAGTAAATATGAAAAATAAAAAGAAAATTGTGAAAAATAACGTGAAGTTGCTACAAATGTGTCATGTTATGTATATACATGTGAAATTCATGATTTTTCTGTGAGAGAGCATATATTGGTGGTCATATGATACTGCAGCAATGCAGGCGCTTGTCTGTCAGGTGGCTAATGCTTAAAGAGAACACACGGCAAATGTATCACACAGAACCAGTGGGATTATCATGTTCAGACCTCAATTAGACTGGAAGCTCGGTACGAACGCTGGCTAAGCAGGCGCAAGGTCAGTCAGAAGCACTGTCACTTTTTTTATTAACTAGTTTGCAGCCAGTCAAAATTCTGGCAACCACATGAATATAGCAGTGAATGACTGCTGTTGACTGCTGTCACCAGAATGGTTTACAGTAGGAAAACCTCCCAGCAGTGATTTCATGTAAAAGTATTTTTAAAGTAATAGAGTTTTATGTTCAGTGCTGCTTTCCTAAAAGAAGCCTGACTGATAAAGGTTTGGTTAAATAGGTCCATGTTGGTGTTTACCAGAAACATCCTTAGGTCAAATCTCACTGAAACACTATGAGCAATACATCAGCAGGAATGAAGCATGGCTGTGAGTAAGCTGGAGAGGGCTGGTGAATACAGGTTTGTACTGCAGGTCAAACTCATCTTCCTCTTTGACAGTGGGATTTAATGGGACTCACCACACTGTTTTGCTTGGAGGGAATAACAGATGATATGTTTACCAAGGACTATTTATTCAGTCTGCTCGAGTAGTGAAGGAACATGAGGTGAGAGGTAGTCGAATGCTTTCGTGAGGGCCCCAGGCCAAACCAAACATATCCCTAAACATATCCCCTGGTATACTTATATTAGCTCTGTCAGTGGCCTATATCCATATTATGTTAATGCAGCAGCTTTGGAAATGCAGTTGAGACTTGCTATTTTAGGAGCGAACAGCAAACGTATTGTTAACCTAGTTTGGCACAAAGCTGTATTCATTGAAATAGTCCAAATAGTAATACAGATTATTTATCAACAGTTATTTTAATGACCCATTTAAATGACTCAGTTAAGTTTTAGAATCGAGTCATAAACACAAATTACTGTGTAAGTATTATCATTAGTGATATGTAACCTAATTACCTAATTCTGGTAACAGTTCTGGGCTCAGTGCCTTTTTACTGCACTAACATTTATTCTGTGCCCACAGCTGAAGCTTGTGCCTTGAATATTCTTTTGCTTTCCTAGAAGTGTTCTATCTTAGTGATAAAGGTACTCAGATTCTGCTCCATTATTTGGAAACTACTTCAAAATTCCACATAACTTGCCAAGGAGTAGAACACTTCAAGCCTTATAAAAAGAAATTAATTCATGCAGATGTTTAAAAGGCTATTCAACAGGCTATTCAAAATGCTCAGGAAATAAAACAGTTGATGATTTTACCTGGCGCGGAAAGTGATCTATAGCCAAACTAAATATGATCCTTGTTTAGCCCAACACGGCAAGAACGATAATGATTATGAATAAATCAGAAAATCAAGTAAACTTGAGGTTCCTCAAGGCGAGCTTTCTTTTAGGAATTCTGATTTCAGTTGTGGCTAATAGTGTCTTTTTGGTCAAACTGGACATGGACAAGTTAAGAGTGCTCACATTTTGTTTAGAGGGAGTCATTAAAAGAGAACAGTCTGTTCCAAAAAGAATAATTCATTTGCTTTTAACTGCAAAATCTATACATTAACATTAAAGATGAATGTGAACAATATGTTGCTCTTTATTTAGCATTGAAAAAAGAGAAAAAGAGCAGGTAAGCTGTAGGCTCGTCATATGAGACCTTCAATGTCAGTGAAGCTTTTCTGAGTTTTATGATAGTTACATTCAGCATCAGCACAGCATGCCACGAGCACATGTCCACTTATTTATTGAGTGTGAATGATATTAGTTTGAGAAATAATAAAACAGTTTTAAGAAATGATTAATTTTTTATCACTATTAAAGTACCCTGAAACATGGGTGACAGTAGAAATTTTAGGCCTTTTGAAAATTTCCCACAGGGTTGTCAAATACTATCCACAAAGGACTGGTGTGGCTACAGGTTTTTATTCCAAACAAGCAGGAGCACACTTGATTCCACTTGTTTAATCAGTCGCAATCAACTGATCAGGTGTTCTCCAGCTTTGTTGAAATGAAAACCTGCAGCCCCACTGCCTTAGCAGAACCTGTCACAACATTATAATCAAAATTTTCATAAGCCTGCTGTTTATTTTGTTAAAGCTCCATAATTTCTCTCTTACTTAGCAAGCTGTGAATTTGATTTCAGCTATAACATTAGATCATGAAATTTAGTTGTGTATCAAAGAGATATTGTGGTTTTTATTCACACTTTCCCCAGGCCAAAAGATTTAAGGAGAGGCTTGAGAGTGTCTTTAGCATACATAGCAGACACCGGACCACTTTCTAGTCCGCCTTCACTTTAAAGTTGAAAACATGACATCCTAACACAAACAGAAGGAGTGTTGCACTATTGATTAATGAGTGAAAATTAAAAAAAATGCTGTAAATTTAGTTTACTTAGCCAACTTCTGGGCTCTTGGAGTCCAACACAATTTGGATGTTTGTGTTTGCAAGCTACTTAGCTGAAACTGGTCACTTTGAACGGTTTCATCTGATTTTTTGCTGGTAAAACATTGAAAATTACAATCACTAGTGTTATTTTGACATGATAATGCATACTTGCAAAAAAGCCCCTAATTGTTATGAAATGTTTTTGGTGTAATATTTGGATATTTGTGTTTGCCAGCTACTTGTCACTTTGACTAGTTTCAGCTTATTCGTCTGGTAAAACATTGAAAATTACAGTCACTAATGTTGACACGATTGTACTAATATGAGTTTATATCAAAAAAGGCACACTACACGTCATTTTCAAATAGGTGTGGGCCCTGTGATGGTTATGGTGAAACATAGCTAGCAACTAGCAAGAAAATAGTATTCCCACAAGTGAGCATAATTGCACTGTTGAGTGATGTGTGGTCATACATTAATACCATGGCAGAGTCTCTGGCCTGTCCCACTAAGTTGACAATGTAGTTGTCTACTTGTGCACTGGTGGCAATGGATTAATATATTATGTAATCTATTAAGATAACACATGCCAATTTTTCTTTTTGAAATTCTGTTTCTAGGGGTTTCTAGAGGTGGAAAAGAAACCCATCTACAGTCAACTGTCCTAAACTGGTTTTGAACCAAACTGTTCTGTTGTGCAACTGTGGTGTGTCTTTCTCAAAGCTTGAAAGAGGGATGCTGCAGAGAACCGTTTCTCAAAAATGAGTCTGGTACAAAACATTAGTCATCAGTGGCTCTGCACACAAGTGGATGGGCGAAGACAAACTGTCCTCATCAATAACGTGGGGCCTCTGCACGCTCCCCCACATGTTTGGTTAAGATAATATTAATGTGTTTACACGTTTGGGCTCTGGAAGTGAAGAGCTTTAGCTACTGCAGAGGATTACGGGGGAAAGTCAAGTTTTGTAAAATCCAGTTTAACATTGACTATTTCTGCAAGGCCTTAAAATGATAAAGTTAGAATTAATCAGGCTCCTATGTTCAACAGAGCATTATTAGACACTGCACACATTGCAGATGCACGAACACAGGTGCTTTGCAAAGCAGTTTCCTTCTTTGTGCGAATGCTCTGTGGTATGGTATGCGTTTAGGTTATTCAGAATATGTAAATGTTTACCATATTCACTTCTGTGTTTGCTCCTGTGTTTATAATTTGGGCACATGCTGTTCTCTTGACTGATGCATTGAATGGAAAAGCAATGTGTGTCTGAACAAGTCCATTAACAATGTTGATAGGAGGAAATTGCATTCTGACAACGATTCTTTG